CGGCAGCTCTCTGCGAAGCTTACAATTCTACTTTGTCTAGTTTCATTCCGCAGGGTATCGGACGTCCGAGCGTTTGACATTGACGCGTTCTCGGTCTCTCCGGAGGGAGTCACATTCCAGATATCGCGTCGCACGAAGTCTGACTCCGCGACGGTCTTTTACCCTTTCTTCACTTCCGATCCTCAACTCTGCGTCGTGGCCACACTACGGCGATATGTGGAGGTTACGCGTCCGATACGGACTCCGGCCTCGGGGCAACTCCTCGTGTCATACGTCCGACCACACGTTCCCATCACTACTACTACCCTAGCCAGGTGGGTTCGGTGGATTCTTTCGTTAGCAGGCATATACGCCTCCTTCGGCACTCATTCGGTACGTGGGGCAGCGGCTTCGTCAGCTTTCACAGCGGGCGCCTCGCTAGCAGATATATTACGCTCCGCTGACTGGTCTAGGGAATCCACGTTTCGCACATTCTATTTCCGCCCGAACTCCAACGCGGCATTGTCACTATTACAGCGTTAAAAAATGCAAAATAGGAAGCCTCCTGTCATGTGATAAAATTGAAGATTATGCTAGCGCCAGTGTACTTATAATCTTAATTTTAATAATGACAGGAGGCGAGTATTTTCCCACCCCTTCCCACCCTAGGGAAGATGGGTACATTCGATTTCTGATTTCTCCTATCTCATCTCTCATTTATATCTCTACTTCTGTCATAGCGAGATTTGTTCATATGCTAATACATTAGATGAGGATTAGTATATTCCTGTATGTACATCTATTTGTTTAATAATGTTGGTTATACTATTGCCATAAAATATTGTTAACGGCCAAGGGTCACTGTGACAAACAGTTCGAAGATCCCATTCTAACCTATTTCACACTCTCGTTTCAGTTTAATTCGGTGTCACCTTGGAGGTTCTTCGGTACACTACCTGGAATTCTTCTTACTATATGAAGAACAGATGTTCACCCGTTGGTGCAGATTACAGTTTCATCACCCACTATGAACGTTTACCTGTTGTATTTACTCAGATGTTATGTATTAATCTTTATTTTACTATCACGATGTCGCTTCTGAAAGAGGGGGAGGAGCCTAATTGTTGGGAACTCCTACTCCCTATTGCATTTTTTCATTGGTTAAATGTTTCACTTTCTTTACTGCTGTGGAGTTTAGTAAAGAGAGAAATACTCGCCTCCTGTCATTATTAAAATTAAGATTATAAGTACACTGGCGCTAGCATAATCTTCAATTATTCATCATAAAGAATTTTTTTATGTAGCAGTGGAAGATTTATAGCTCTTAATATAAATGAAAATCTCCTTATTTATCCTTTTATATATTTTCGTTACGTTTATATTTCATTGTGTTACTTTTTACAAATAATTGCTGTAAACTGCTTTTTATCTCAAAGAAAATCTCTTGGGAAAAAAACGAATAATTATCAATACATTTTAAGATCCTACTCAGAGGGAACAGGTAATTACTTTGACTATTGTTAATAAAATGGATAGCAATTATTGCTAGCTTTTAAAAATGTTTATCTGCTCTGTTTTTGGGTGAAATCTATCATTCAAACTATGGCTGTTATATACAAGACACAGGGGTAACCATTAGCAGTGTTTCTAGTTGTTTTGAATAGAGAGGCTGTACTTTTCTTCCTATCACTTGGCCTCACCTTGTGAACTATGATTTATGCCAATAGTTCATTTAAACAGACAAGAGTCTTATTCTCCTGTAATTGGTTACAGAGAAACCTGCAGCATGTTTTGTAAGAGCACCAGTGTTTAATTTACTGTAACTCGGGGCACAGCATGTCATATTGCTGAACGTATACGACTTTTTTATAGTTCATAAAATCCCAGACAATTTTGAAGCATTACATGTAAACGACGTAATGTTACTAAACATTCCTGGCCAATTGTAGCTTAGCTTTCTTATTCTGGCTAACTTGAGTTTATGATCAGACTTTGGAACTTGTACATATGAGTAGGTCCTTAAAAATATGAAACATTTCATGGACCACTTCCGAATGATAAAACATAGAGCTACAAAGAGATTTTGCAGTAATTAAATATATATATAGTTCTGATTCTCCCATTGCTCTCATTAAGAGATCTATAGTATCCTAGAATGCTATGAGGATGATTATGGGATATGTCTGATGCCCCTAGTGGTTTTCTGAATCACAGTCACTAGAGGTGTTAGGATTGCAACAAATAAACAGTGCACCAAAATCAATTAATTCAGTGGGAATTTATAACCCCAAAACAAATGCCATATTCATGAGTCACAATGATCATTAGTGGGATTAATGTTGATTAGAATTATCTTCAATAAATTAAAGTTAGTTTTTACAATATAAAAACACCATGTTTGACTCCGTAGCAGGCCAGCATTTAAGCTTTGAGGGCAGCAGACACCAGGGGGTCAACATAAATTTGGGACCACTTAACACAGAATAGCAGAGATGGGAAAGACTTTTCAGCTCAACCAAGTTATTTACAGGGTTAGTCACTAAACACAGAATTGTTGGGAATTCAAAGTGAATTCAAAATTCAGGTCACAATGATTGAACTGGAAAAATTCTTCACGTTCGCTATGATTCCAGTACTGCTACTTAAAGGGAAACTATACTGCCAGGAAAGCAAACTTGTTTTCCTGGCACTATAGCTTTCCCCTCACCCGTGGTGCAGAAGGGGTTAAAAACGTCAGCTTGCAGGGGAGACATAATGCACATTTGTGGCAACGGCCGGGCTCGCATTAGGATTTCCCCATAGGAAAGCATTATACAATGCTTTCCTATGGTGTTTGGGTGACACTGGATGTCTACCTGGTATACAACCACTAGAGATGGAGTTAACCCTGTATGGTAATTATTGCAGTTTCTTAAAAATAAACCTGGGACAGTGCACACAGACCACTTCAATGAGCTGAAGTGATCTGGGTGCGTGTGTCTCTTTAAGCCTTGAATTTATAAATTTTACTTAAAATTCACTGGTCGTGTACTTTGAATTCCCAACCATTCTCACTTTAGTGCATAACCCTGTTATTTTCTGACCTAACTATTATTATTGGCATTTATATAGCACAAGCATATTCCTCAGTGCATTGAATTGTTATAAAGGGGGTGTATTTCACAGCAATCAAAGTATGCTCATAGATTGCAATCGTTTGAGCAGGGCCTTCTTCACCTTGTCTCCATTATATTCTGAATGGAAACTACCTGTTGTCAAATATCCATATTTTATAATCAGGAGAAAAAGGAGGACATTGCTGGAATGAGCAATCTGTAGGAGAAGAGGTATAAAAACATAAAGGAAGGGCCAGAGGAATAATAGCAAAGCGAGGTGATGGTAAAGCAGCAGAATAGGAGGGTGAGCGTGAACTCATTAATTATGTTGAGAGCGGAAGCAATAGATTTAAGGATTAACAGTTACTCAGAGAGACTGCAGCCTGAAGAGATGTGTTTTAATAGACTTCTTAAAGGATTGGAAACTAGTGGAGAATCTGATGGGGGGGAGGCAGGCTGTTCCATAGAAATGGAGATCCATGGTTGGTCCTGTACCCGAGAGATAGCACACTAGTACTAGCAGTAGATAGGAGAAGGTAATTGGCATGGCGGAGTGAGCCAGTAGGATTATATCTATAAATTAGTGTAATGGGGAGTTGTTGATAGCTTTGTAGCATTGCTAACATTTTAAAATAAATCCTAAAAGGTGCAGGAAGTCTGTAATGACTGGCAGAGGGGTGATGTGTCACGGGAGAGATGAAAGAGAAGAATAAGCCTGGCAGCAGGACTCGTTATGGACCGTAAAAAGGCAGTACAGTTTCCAGAGAGATCAATTAGGAGAGAATTATAGTAAGCAATGCGAGAAATTACAAAATAATGAACAAGCTCCTTAGTGGTACTTTTAGTATAAAAAAGGTGCCAGATGCGGGCAATGTTTTTAAGGTAGAATTGGCAGGATTTGGTGACAGACTGCTAGCGGGCATAAAGTGTATAGGTGGATCCTGAATCAAAGATAATAACAAGGCAGAGAGCTTGTCAGGATGGGCCGATAGGTGTACCATCAACTTGCAGAGAAAGGTTTAGTATCATAAGGAGGGACGACAAGAAGCACAGTTTTAGAAGACGGAAAGAAATTAAACTAGTGGCAGTTTATGTAGATAATGTTATTTCCTATTGCTTAAGATGATCTATATATCTATTCATTTATCTCGTTTTCATTTTGCAATTTTCTATTGTCTTGTGCATTGTGTTTTAAATGGATAAGGATTGGTGAACTCTATACTTTTATTTATGCCAACCACTGCATACCAAGCATCATCACCTACTCTCTGTGCACCACCGACTTCCGTCGGGTATATTATCATGTACCGTGAGGATCCATATAGAGTATAATGATCCTGGTCAATGATAGTATTCTATTTTAACTTGCTGACAACCATTTGTGAGATAGAAGGGAAAGTGACATTTGAGAGAGGGCAGCAAAGGTTTACACATGCAGAATTCTTCTGTCCATCGTAACTTGACCTTTACATTCAACATGAAATTCTAACAGACAAGAACACCAGGGAAGCATTAAATAGTGTCGTTTATGACGTTTATTTTTTTCCTTTAAGACATGTTGGAAGTGAAGCAGTTAAACCCACGGATCTTTATTTTTTTTTCACCCACTTTTCCTGTAAGGTTAAAGAAGCCCTTTGAATTCCATGCACGCCCTGTGTGTATAAATACAGGGAGGGGGTTAGGAGTTGCTCTGGATTCCTGCCAGCATGCTGGATCACTAGGTCTGCTGTTAAAGACAGAATGTAAAAAAAAAAGAAAAAGGGAAAAAAAAAATAGGGAATTTGGCCAGTTCTGTGCTTATTTGCTTCCCTTCCAGCTACGATCAGATTGTCCTTCTCGCTCTCTCTGTTTAAGTGTGACACATCACATTCATTCCAAGAGGGATTGCTTGTCTGATTAGTGGGTTTAACCAGCTTGATTTTGTGGATGGATTTTGTCTATAGCATCAAAATGCACATCACTCTTCCCATTTCGATCTTGTTTCTGGTGCTGGTGGATGTCAATATTACAGGTAAGTCTATTTCTATATCTTTTATAAACAGACAAAGCTGTGTAATGGCTGGTGGCAGGGTACATTGTTTCTAAGCAGCTTATGATGATCATTCTTTGGAAGCATTCATTCAAGGAAACACATTTAATCTCTACAAAACAGAGCAATTCCCATTACAGTAGATTTAACTCTATTTTGGGTAAAGATACTGGTTGAAGTCTAGGAATGGAAGAGCCTCCAAGTGATGCTCTCAATAAATTTAGCTGTGTTTTAAGGAGTTTTTTGTTGTTGTTTTTTTTATACAGTAAAGCAGCGGTTCTCAAACTTTTTCTGGACACCATCTGAGCTTTAATCAGGTGACAATTAAAATGTAAATCAACATTTTGATTGATTTAAAGGCCTAAAATTCCAGTTAATAGATACCCCCTGCTGTCACTATCTTGTTTTTTGCTGGCATGTGTTCTCTAAAAATAAATCTTTGTTTTCTGCAAAATGTACGAGTGAAAAATCTTTAGAGACCATTAGCCCCATTATAACTGACACCATAAATCATATACAGTTTTCTATAGCCAACGGGCTAAAATTAATTCTTACTGAGATTAGTGATGAATGTTGCAATGGTTAGATGTATTTAGAACACTTAGCTGGGGGAAAGATTTGCCAGAAGCCCTGGCTTTCTGAACTGACCCTTTACACATCAAAAGAGTAAACTTAATGATGATGCTTGTGTATTAATAGCCTTAGGCACTCCAGATGTTTTGAACTACACCTCCCATGATACTTTGTCAGCATTATGGCTGTAAGAGCATTATTGGAGATATAGTGCCGAAGGTTGCCTACCCCTGTTTTTGACACATTAAAATACCTGAATTCAGAAATATCTCCAAATTATTTTACTGTGGTCAAGCAGCGACTGTATGGTACAGCATTAAGTGATGCAATCATTAACAGGGTATATAAGCAAACATAGGAACATGACGGTTCTGCGTACCTCAACCTTTAGATAAACCTTTAAACTGCTGCTAGGGACATTGTAGTTGGATCTCACCCAGTGTTTTTGGGTTCGGCACATAATTACCCCTTTGCCTTAGGTAGAAGAAAGTCTTGTGTAGTCTGGCTTATTGCCCTCAGGGCTCTGCCAACCAAAATCTGGTATACTGAGATCATGCCTCTATTTCATCACATCTGCTCATTTTATCTCTCTTAACCAACTTCTTTTAAACTCATTTGGTAAGAGGAAGATGTAGTTTCTGGACAAGGTAAATATGAAGGTTTTTAGTGCTGCCTATATAGTTGTCACGTTAAATCTTGAGCCATATTTTGCGGTTGAACGTTGGAAAAATTTTTGCCTCAGAAATGCAATTGGAAAGACATTGTTACAATCCTATATGTTGTGACATGCTTAAAAAGCCATAATCATTATTAAAAGCACTAAGGATTTTTCAGTGCTGTCCAATGAAGATACACAGCAGTGACATGTATGGTATGTTATTGTAAACTTGATAGTCCGGTGTACCAGATGCAAAGTAAATGACTTTAGCAGTATGTAATAGTATATTTTTCTTGGACAGACATTCTGTTTAAGAATGAGCAAAACATGCTTGGGAATTGCACGGGTTAACAGTCTTCTTTTACTCTGTTTGAAATTCCATGTCCCTGTAGGAATTGTTTACATCGATACATGTTCTTTTTTTTACAGTAATATGGCTATTAATCCGGGACTGTGTTACAACCAGCAATTACTGTAAATGTATAGCTGGAGAAAGAAATCTGTCAAACAACCACAGTTTGATTGATTGCTTTTTGTGGGGGAGGGATAACAGAGCCCAGGAGAGTGTTAAAAAGAGGATCGACTTTAAGCTGCTTTATTACATAGTTAAAATTAGCCGGGGACATTTTTTATTATTTCTAATGTGCTCCAATAATAATAACAATTATCTAGCAATTATACACTCCATTCCTTAGTGTTATGTATGGGGAAAAAAAGTGCTGTGTTCACAAACATGATTTGAAGTAGAAAAAGTGGGGCAGTCACCATGGAAACCAAGGAATTCGCATCCATGTTGCTTTGGTGACTTTACCCCTTTTCGATATTTGAAACCTTTTTCAGAGCAAATTATTATATATAAACCCCATTATATTTATTATTATGATTCATTTTGTTGATAGGAATATTCTTGAATCTGTCAGATTAAGAATTCTATACAAGTTGTTTTAGTCCAGCAAAGATGCAGATGCAAATTAATGGAATATTGTAATATCTTATAATGCCTTTTTAGACTAACAAGACAGGCTGCTAAGTTTAAAGCATTTCTTACCAAAACATGCAGGAACAACCTAAGTTTTGATACTGTAGTTAAAACCACAACCACTTACTTGGTTGATTGTGACGGGTGGAGTAGTGCCTAAGAGATTTAAGTGGTTTCTCAAAAAATGCAATGTTTTAAATCGCCGCATTTAGAGGCCAGAGACACTGCACCAATGCCACTTCATTAAGATGAAGTGGTCTGGGTGACTATAGTAGTCCTTTAAGTGTATACTTTTTCTCATAATTAGTATTAATTATTGCCAATTGTTTGAAACTATTTTTTTGCTTTGGATTTAGTTTTTTCTAGCCTTCCTCTCTGAGACTTATTTAATTTTAAAAGATGGACCAGCTACATCAGTTTTTTAGATTTTTATATTCTTCATGTGTTGTATTATCACAATAGTAGCCTGTGACACTTATTACTTTGGAAGGGATTTCCCTACACATCTCTTTCTGGATAATGATTTAGCCGTCGAGTTGCTGGCTCTTCTATATGTTATTGCATTAAAATATTACCATTAATATCTTTTTAACATATCAGATTTCTCAACACTGCAGCTGAGTCTGTTTACAATCCAAGACTGGGAAATGGCTGTAGTGTGTTTATTTAAAGCCTTTTTACCATTTACAAGTCATTGTAAACTGGAGTAGAATTTTGAACGTTAACAAAATATTGTGGTCTCCTTTCCTCTCCTAGTGTGAACACATGCATTTGACCTTTAAATGATTACAGTACTTTGCCTTCTCGGATTCCTAAATGTGTTTGACATAACATACGTAAGATGAACACTTATGAAAACACAGTACACTAAGGAGCTATGAGAATGTATTTGGTACCTGATAAATACCTTTATATTAGTTGTACAGGACAAAAAAATTGGGTTAGACTATACTGGTAGAATTTGTTTCTGGTCAGCGAAAATTAGTTTATGTTGCTGTTCGGCTCGGACAAACGTCAATCCCGAAAAATTAGCGAAGGCCGTTCAGGCAGCCAGAACAGCAGGAAAAAATGGAACTAGGACTGTGCTAACATGCAAAAATGGCTACAATAGAGCATGGCATAATGGCTATGCAAAATCAACAATTTTGTATTAATGAAAAATAGGAAGCCCGATTAATTTAAATTTCAGAATAGGCGATTTATCCAAAAAGCAATGGAAAAAGTTAATGGGCAATTGGCCGCCTATTACCTTCCATTCTGACAATAACAAATACTTCACACACATGCAGTCTGAAGCTTCAGTGACTATCTTTCAGTTTAAAAAAAAACTAAGCAGCCAATCAGGAAGATTGCTGGTGCATGGTGGAAAAAAGGTTTAAATACAAGAGACAATTTGCTGTAATGGTAACATTTGGTCCAAAAGATGTGACAAAAATGTGGCGTCCACTTGAAATAAGCAGCTGATTATGGCCTCAATTTATTTATTTTGGATAATCTTTTTAATTGATTTAACCATTGTGGATAAACATTTAAAATCATTTATATATAAAAACATAAATATATAAAAAAAAAAGTTAAAACATTTTTTTAAAATATAACATCATTTTAAAAGTGTGTCTAAAAATATTAAATCATTTGAAAAGCGTATCTAAAAATACAAAATCATGGTTTGTCTGTTTTTGTTTTTATTCCCAAGAATATGAGATAGTTGAAATATAATCAGATATGGGAATCCTTTGGCAGTCCATCTGCTGTAGGTACACTAAGCAACCCTCAGCCACCTGGGAGTGGTAGTTTTCTGACTCTAAAGTGCCATGGGATGCTTATCTGGTTATATGAGTGCATTAAGCTCATCGAGCAGGGCCCTCAACCCCCTCTGTTACTGTACGTCCAGTGGTCTGATCTCAATTATATGTCTGTTAGTCCACCCATTGTACAGCGCTATGGAATTTGCTGGTGCTATATAAATAATAAAATAATAATAATAATTGGTAATGTTTGATTAATGTGGAGATGCAGGATAGATTTGTTCCATCTGCAATCGGTTAGGAATTTATCATCTGAAGGTTCAGTCCCATCCTGTTAAATATTGAAAGCCACATTTCTATCAGAGCCATTCTGGGTTAAAGGATTTATGTTCTGTAAATTGATTCTTACCTTTCTAATGGTGTGGTCCTGTCATTCCAGATGTCAAACATGTCATGTTCACATTCACTAAAGTAATGTCTCTTGCAAAATTCCTTGATAATGCTGCTAAAACAACACAGAAGTAGTAAAAAAATAGTAATAATAATATAAATGAAGAAGAAAAATTAGTTTCATGATTTTAAGAAATCGACTCACAATAAGGTTATATCACGTACTACAATGATGTAGCTATTTAACAATTAGTAATACAATCACAGCTTAGTAAAAAAAAAAAAAAAGAAAGGTTTTGTGTAATGTGATTGAAAATTTTCACTGATCTGACTACCTATAGATATGGATGGGATCATGTTTCAACATTATATTTGCTCACGTTTAAATATCTAATGAAGTGTAGCGTTACTTACCTTAACCGGGGGCCGGTCGCGGTCCTCTCTTCAAGCCGCACGCGGTCCTGCGGCTCATCCGACTGCTTTAGATGGAAGGCGGGCAGTGACCGCGTGAAGCGGTCACGTGTCCCGCCTGAAACTAAGAGCGCTCTTAAAGAGACAGTGGGAGCCTAATTGCCAAAAGGCTCCCATTGGCTCCTGTCATACCACACTCCCTATACAATTACCTTTTGGGGGTGTGGAAGTGACAGGAGCCAATCACTTTCGTTTAAAAGCTATTTAAACTTACCTTTTTCCCTTAGCTCGTTGCCCTATCGTGGTTTCTGTTTCAGTTCCCTTTAGCGCTTGTGGTGTTCAGTTGTGTTTTCTCGTATTGACTTTGGCTTCGTATTCTGACTTCGTTTTCGCTTTATCCTTATCTGTACTGTTTGCCGGCTTGCTGTTTTCCGTGTACCAGACCCCGGCTTGTCCTAGTTTACGCTGTCTCTCTGTGCCCTTGACCTCGGTTTGTTCCTGGCTCTGTCTCCTCTCATATACGTCGAGTCCGGCCATTCTAAGGTCCGGTAGACGTATCTCTCCTCTGTATTGGCTTCTGTTTAGCTGGATCCTGCGTGTAGGGGTATATTCTCGTTACATTACGATAGGGCCATGGACCCCGCAGATTTAGCTCAACAGATGGCGTCCCATGAGGCAAGATTTGTAGAGCAGGATCACCGTATGGATCAGATAGCCCAGGCTCTCCAGACGCTCCTAGCTAGAACCGTTCCAGCAACCACACCTAACCCTCCTACGCCCCTTCTCCCTGAAGTATCTACTTTGCCTAATACTTCGGCCCATTTAACACCTCCTCCTAGGTATGGAGGGGACTCTAAGACTTGCAGAGGGTTTATTAATCAAATTGAATTCCACTTCGAAATGTATCCACGTTCATTTCCCACAGAGAGGTCTAAGGTTGGGTTCTTTATGCACCAACTTACCGATAAGGCACTTGAGTGGGCAAATCCTATTTGGGAAGCTAATGGACCTATGGTACATGATTTCAACAGTTTTCTTACGGCTTTTCGTAGAACTTTTGACACAATGAAAAGGTCAAAGAATGCCGCGAGAGCATTAATGAGAATTAAACAGGGTTCTAGGTCTGTGGCTGATTATGCTATTCAGTTTCGCACTCTTGCTTCGCAGGTAGATTGGACCAACAATGGGTTAACTACTGCCTTCATGGAAGGTTTGTCAGATACAATATTGGATGAGGTAGCAGCTAAGGAGCTTCCTATTGCCTTAGAGGACCTTATTGATTACCTCATTGATATAGATAATAGAATTCGTGACAGGCTCTATACCAAGAACAGGAATAGACGTTTTGTTACACCCATTAACCCCAGAGTTAATATACCAGAGAGTGTTAAAGTGTCTGAGGAGGAACCTATGCAATTAGGGGTTGCCAAACTCTCTGATACTGAAAAATTACATAGGAGAAGAGAGGGACTCTGCCTATACTGTGGTAGGAGAGACCATATGGTAAAGGAATGTCCTTTACTCCCGGAAAACTCTCGCACCTAAGACCTTATAGGGGACTGGCCTTGGGTGTGATATCTAAGTCTCCTAAATTGCCTCCTAACCGCTTGCTTCTCCCGGTTTCTTTATATATGGGAGAGATTTGTATAGTTGACAACATATATGCTCTGGTTGACTCTGGGGCAGCTGAAAATTTTATAGACTCTGGCTTTATAAAGAGAAACAACATTCCCATCAGAGAGAAGGAGATACCCTTGGCCGTTGAGGCCATAGATGGTAGACCATTAAGTTCTCCAGTTGTTACTCATGAGACTGTACCATTACACATGTACACAGGGGTTTTACACTATGAAACCATTCGATTCCAGGTCATCACCTCTCCCTCTTCACAGTTAGTATTAGGGTATCCATGGTTACGTGCTCACAATCCCATTTTTGACTGGGAGACAGGGCAAATAAAATCATGGAGTGAGGCCTGCCACGAGTCTTGTACGTTTGAAGTCACACCTTTGAATTCTATTAAGGTACCTACCAGTCCTCCTTTGTCTACGGCTATACCCCCTCAGTATTTATCTCTAAAGACTGTTTTCGATAAAAGGGAGGCTGAGAAATTACCGCCTCACAGACCCTATGATTGTGCTATTGACTTGTTGCCTGGCACTATACCTCCAAAGGGCAGGGTGTACCCCTTATCGGTTCAAGAAAACCGTGTCATGGAGGAGTATATTAAGGAATCACTAGAAAAGGGGTTTATTAGGAGATCCTCTTCTCCAGCTGGAGCAGGGTTCTTCTTTGTATCGAAGAAAGAAGGTGATTTAAGACCGTGTATAGATTATAGAGGTCTAAACAAAATCACTATCAAAAATGCATACCCTATACCTTTAATTACAGAATTATTTGACAGGCTGAAACATGCCACTGTGTTCACTAAATTAGACCTTAGGAGTGCATACAATTTGATACGTATAAAGGAAAATCACGAATGGAAGACTGCATTCAACACTAGATCCGGTCATTACGAATATACTGTTATGCCATTTGGGCTTTGCAATGCCCCAGCAGTATTCCAAGAATTTATTAATGATGTCTTAAGAGATTTTATTCACACATTTGTTATCGTATACTTGGACGACATTTTAATATATTCTACAGACATACACACTCATCACAGACATGTTACGACAGTTTTGAAGACCCTTCTTGCTAATGGTCTTTATTGCAAGCTAGAAAAATGTCTGTTTGACCAAACCGAAGTCCAGTTCTTGGGGTATTTGATTTCCGCTAAAGGTTTTCGTATGGATCCCCAGAAGCTTGCTGCTGTAATAGAATGGCCTCTACCGCAAGGTCTGAAAGCTATTCAGCGTTTTCTTGGGTTCTCCAATTATTATAGACGTTTTATCAAAGGTTTCTCGTCCATTGTAGCACCTATTACCCGTATGACTAAAAAGGATGGCAATACTCGTGTTTGGTCTACCGAGGCACTTCAGGCTTTTGAATTTCTTAAAACTACGTTCGCCTCTGCACCTATTTTACAGCATCCTGTCCCCTCACTGCCCTATATTCTTGAAGTTGATGCTTCGGATATCGGGGTAGGTGCTGTCTTATCCCAAAGAGAGTCGCCTGAAAAGCCATTGCATCCATGCGGCTTCTTTTCTAAACAAATGTCCAAAGCAGAGAAAAATTATGATGTGGGTAATCGCGAACTCCTTGCTATTATTTTAGCACTTAAAGAGTGGAGACATTTGTTAGAAGGAACTAAGGATCCTATCCTCATTTTTACGGATCACAAGAACCTATCCTACCTTAGCGAAGCCAAAAGATTGTCTTCCAGGCAGGCTAGGTGGTCACTATTTTTGTCCCGTTTCAATTTTATTATCACCTATAGGCCAGGTGATCGCAACACTAAAGCAGACGCTCTGTCCAGACAGTTCGAAACTACTGACAAACAGGAGATTGATGTTACTCCTGTCATTCCCCCAGACAGGATAATAGCTACTACTATTTTGTCTATTTCCTCGTCCCTCTTGCAGGCCATACAAGCGAAACAAAGCATGGCACCTAGCGAGAGGCCTAATGATAAACTGTTCGTTGATGTTCCGAGAGACGGGATATTATGTCATTATATCATGATACTAAGACTGCTGGACATCCTGGTATTTCCAAAACGGTGTCAGCTGTTTCTCGGTATTTTTGGTGGGATTCCTTACGAAAGGATGTCACTGACTATATAAGTGCTTGTACTACTTGTGCCTGTATGAAATCCTCCCGTAGAGTTCCTTGTGGGCTGTTGCATCCGTTACCCGTTCCCGAGAGACCTTGGTCTAACCTGTCCATGGATTTTATTGTTGAATTACCCCCTTCAAATGGTAACACAGTAATCCTGATGATAGTGGATCGGTTTTCCAAGATGGCTCACTTCGTGTCTCTTCACAAGTTGCCCACATCCAAGGAACTGGCTCATATCTTCGCTAGAGAAGTATTTCGATTACATGGTATTCCCGTATCTATTGTATCTGATAGGGGTAGCCAATTTATTTCCAGGTTCTGGAGGGCCTTTTGTTCAGAAATGGGTATTTCTCTCTCATTTTCTTCCGCTTATCATCCCCAGTCTAATGGGGCTGCTGAACGTGCCAACCAGTCTCTGGAGCAATACCTCCGTTGTTTTGTGTCTCACCATCAGGACAATTGGTCTGACCTGCTTCCTTGGGCTGAATTTGCTCGGAATAACGCCACTCATGATTCTTCCGGCAAGACCCCTTTTTACGTTGTCTATGGCCAGCATCCCGTTGTTCTTCCGGCTGCATTCTCCTCACAGGGCATGCCAGTTCTGGATGAGCATTTGGCTGGTTTGCGTAATACTTGGGAGCAGGTTCAGCGTTCTTTGGTGGACTCTGCTACTCGCCAGAAGGCTCAGGCTGACAAGCATCGCAGAGCAGCTCCGTCCTATGTTGTGGGGACAGGGTTTTGCTTTCCACGCGGAATATTCGTCTCCGGGTGCCTTCTATGAAATTGGCTCCCCGCTTCATTGGACCTTATCGTATTATACATAAGGTTAATCCTGTTTCTTATGCCTTAGGCCTGCCTAAGAATCTACGTATTCCTAATGTCTTTCACACCTCATTGTTGAAACCTTCGTACGCAACCGCTATACCCGGCATACTCCTCCTCCCCCTCCTATCTCAGTGGAGGGTCATGAGGAGTTCGAAGTGTCTGCTGTTCTTGACTCTCGTTTCCTTAGGGGTCGACTTCAGTACTTGGTACATTGGAAGGGTTATGGGCTTGAGGAGCACAGTTGGATTTCGGCTGATGCTGTTCATGCTCCCCGTCTTGTGCGCTCTTTCCATTCTCGTTTTCCTGCCAGGCCTGGTCCTACCCGCCCGGAGGGCATGTCCTCAGGGGGGGGTACTGTAGCGTTACTTACCTTAACCGGGGGCCGGTCGCGGTCCTCTCTTCAAGCCGCGCGCGGTCCTGCGGCTCATCCGACTGCTTTAGATGGAAGGCGGGCAGTGACCGCGTGAAGCGGTCACGTGTCCCGCCTGAAACTAAGAGCGCGCCGCGAGTCTCGGGCGCGCTCTTAAAGAGACAGTGGGAGCCTAATTGCCAAAAGGCTCCCATTGGCTCCTGTCATACCACACTCCCTATACAATTACCTTTTGGGGGTGTGGAAGTGACAGGAGCCAATCACTTTCGTTTAAAAGCTATTTAAACTTACCTTTTTCCCTTAGCTCGTTGCCCTATCGTGGTTTCTGTTTCAGTTCCCTTTAGCGCTTGTGGTGTTCAGTTGTGTTTTCTCGTATTGACTTTGGCTTCGTATTCTGACTTCGTTTTCGCTTTATCCTTATCTGTACTGTTTGCCGGCTTGCTGTTTTCCGTGTACCAGACCCCGGCTTGTCCTAGTTTACGCTGTCTCTCTGTGCCCTTGACCTCGGTTTGTTCCTGGCTCTGTCATATACGTCGAGTCCGGCCATTCTAAGGTCCGGTAGACGTATCTCTCCTCTGTATTGGCTTCTGTTTAGCTGGATCCTGCGTGTAGGGGTATACTCTCGTTACATGAAGTAACTGAGCTCCCCCAACAAACACACACAAAAAAAAGAATGTATATCATTATGTTTTTGTGGCAAAAACATAAAAATGACATTCACGAGTGGACATGCAACGCTACTAGCAATACTTTGTAATTCATATAAAATAAGGTTTCAAGTAATATATTCATTCTTAAATCATAGGCTGTAGGTGGGCCACAACATACGTTCACGTATATATCTGGCAGGTCTATTGTAGAAAATATAGTCTTGATAAAGTCTCATGAAAGCAGAAAGATTACATAGTTACATAGCTGAAAGAGACATGTGTCCATCAAGTTCAGCCTTCCTCACATCTGTTTTTTGCTGTCGATCCAAAAGAAGGCACTTCCTTGAAGCACTTCCAATTTTGCAATAAAGTAGGAACAAATTCCTTCTTGACCCAAGATTGGAAAACATATTATATTTTTGCAGGTATGCATCTAATTGCTGTTTAAACATCTGTACAGACTCTGATGAAACCACTTCTCCAGGCAGAGAATTCCACATCCTTATTGTTCTCACTGTAACTTTGACTCTGACTTTACCTTAGAGTAAGTCTAAATGAAGTTGAAAATATAAATGGCAGGACAGTCACAATTTGGGAACCCTTGTTTCACTGTCCCATTTCTTTGGTGCCTCCATAAGTAGCCCCCCCCCCAAAAAAAATACAGAGCACAATTAAATGTGCTTTAACTTTAAGAAGCTCTGCCATTGGCCATTGGCAGTACCAACAGGCTGTCCGTCAGGCCCGTCTGTCAACATGGTTTCAAAAATGTTTACAGGATGTAGTTAAATTGAACTGTCAGCATAAAGTATATAGCAGTACCCGACTGAAAATCAATTTTTATTCTTTGCCTTTATGAACCTTTTGAGTATGCAGATGTAATATTAACAGGCTAAGGAACATTAACATCTGTTAATCGATGTGAACCAGAGAGAACTAAGATACAAATGGGAAGAAAATATAAATAATGATCACAGATCCATGTTATAAAGAACATGTGGTCTCTGAAATGCCATAACTTTTCATACTCTGAGTGAAGAGGAATTATGTATTGCTATTTAGTGTCTGGTGAAGATCAGTCTTTGCCTCCTGCAAAGCAGCATTGTCTACAGAATTACCAGGCTCAGAGAAATGAGTTCAAGACTCCAGGGTCTAGTTTGCAAGTAAATGTATTAGCCGAAGGCACATTACTACAATCAACTACTTTATATATAGATTTAGAAGTGCTGCCCTAGAATCCCGCTGTATTGGTTATGTTGCCTAAAATTCTCTGTCACCATCCCCTCAATTCTGCATTGGCAGTACAACTGAGACAGGGGCAGTCTACCAGCAGGAGAGGGCAGCAGTACACAAAATTATGCTGCAGAAGGGGTTATACAAACCTTTTTTTTTTTTTTTATCTATGACCACCTTTGCAAGTAGGGTGATCGCCTAAAAGGGCACTCAAGCCTGGAACTGGCCTATACCCGTGTGCATGTGCACTGCATTGTATAGACCAGGGGTTCCCAACCCAGTCCTCAAGTACCCCATACCTGCCAAGGTTTTAGGGATTACTCTGTTGTGTCTAAAGTGTTTTTTGTCTTTCTAAAAACAGCTTAGACACAACTGGATAATCCCTAAATCATGGACTGTTAGCGGGGTATTTGAGGACTGGGTTGGGAACTACTGGTTTACACAATACCTAAAAATATGCAAATAATCAGTTGAAAATATGAAAAGATAAACTAGATACTTTCAGTCAAGAAGCTCTCATGCTAGAAAACAGAAAGAAGAAATTTCAGGTATTCTAGAATTCAGAAGGAGGGAGAGACAGGGATCGTTACAATGCAGAACGTTAGAAAATATTTATCCAAGTGCAACATCTGCTTAAATGGACCACCCAATCCCCTTATTAAGTGACAGGTGATGTGTTAATAACTCTTCACAGAACCCAGAGGACTAGTTCTCAACTAGAAAGTAGTATTGGGCTCTATTGTATACCCACATCTCATATGTGATAAACACAAAAAGAATTCAGTGCTAGTAATCACAAAATTAGTCAAGGTAGGCAGCAACCCAAATGAAGGAAATCCCCTCGGGTCCTTCGGTGGATAGATACAAAAAGATATGGAAGGGCTGTGCCAAATAAGGGTAGATAGTCCAGTAAAGTATTGCTAGGGTGTCAATAGATTGTCTAGGATACTTGATAGAGTTCCTCTGTGGATGCGTCTGGTGTAGACCGTTCCGTATATGTAAATACAAGAGGGGTAGAGGCGACTAATGGTATAGTATGAAAGTTCAGGGTGTGATAGGTAACAAAAAGTAAAGAACTCACATTCAAGAGAGCTATGGCCAGCTCTGGTGTGGATTGCGTACAGCGGTATAATCCCCGCTTATGGGATATGTAGGGAGGGGGTCTCCGTCAACACCGTCTGGTAGTCCAGAACTCAGAAAAGAAAGACAGAAAGCAACAATAGTGCTCTCAATTTTGATGTGGTTCAATGTGCAGATAAGAAGAGGTAAAAAACTCACATTTGAGGGAGCTATGGCCAGCTCTGGTGTGGATAGCGTACAGCGGTATAATCCCCGCTTATAGGATATGTAGCGGCGATACGTCCGTCAGCACCGTCTGGTGATCCAAGGCTCCAATATAGAAGAATAAAAAGCAGCAATAGTGCTCTCAATTGTGACAGGTTAAGAGAGTAGTAGAGAAAATAAAATAATACTCACAAAGATAGAGCAGAGGTACTGCTCTATGGATAGGCGCCGGTGGTATGATCCCCACCTAGGATTTCTTGGAGTACTGGAACTTTAAAATTGCCAGTGGAAGTAAAAGTAACCAGGAAAGGTTAAAATGCCAGGAATAGGTAAAAAAAGTTGTTTAAAGTGCATAAAGAGTGCAATAAAAAGAGGATTGGTACAATAAAGTAGCCAAAAAACTTTTATTGATCTAAAATACACAGTAAAATACAGAATTAATAACCATAAACGCGTTTCACCATAAGTGACTTCTTCAGGATGGGATAAAAGTAGTAACCTGGCAGGGGTTGTTTAAATAGGGCTATGTTAATTTGAAAATTGCGCCAAAAGTGTAATTGGCCAATCAGAGACAATTTTTAAAATCACTTTTCAAAATTAGGATTCAAGAGTATGGGAGTGATGTTATAAAGGTGATGAGTCCATTTAAATTATTTAAATGTGAAAACGAGGGTGAGAAAGTTGTTTTTTAAAGAGAAAGAAAAAAAAAGTTGTTTGATTAAAGTTCAAAAAAAAAAAGTTGTTTGATTAAAGTTAAAAAAAAAAGTTGTTTGATTAAAGTTCAAAAAAAAAAAGGTGTTTGATTAAAGTTCATTAAAAAAAAATAAAACAAATAAGTAGATGGTTTAAAGGTACAGAGATACAGAGATATATGTAAATGGAGTATGCATGAAAAGGGGGTAATATAATCCCAAACATAATGATTTAAATATGGGTTATATTATACCCCAGAGTAATAATATATTACAGATGTTAAATGAAAATAATAGATAAAATAAAAATAACATTAAATAAAATTAAATAAAAGATAACACAGAATACAAGATACATAAATGGAGAGGCATAGATGAAAAATTAAAACTTAAAAGATTATTATTATGAGGGTTGGTTAGGTCCAGACATAAAGAATAAAAGCATGTAGATAAGGGTTGTAAATAGGAATTTAAATAAAATTAAACAGGTCAAAATCAACATTTAAACCAGATGGGGTAAGAGTTTTGAGATTAAAAACCCATTCCATCTCAGCTTTACCTAATATGTTCTTAATGTTACCACCTCTCCATGGTATTATAAATTTTTTTATGCCGATGCAGTTAAGGTGTCTTGTGTCGTTATGTGTACAAAAGTGTTTGGAGACTGAGTGATTCAGGTAGCCTTTTTTGATATTTCTACAGTGTTCACTCAGTCTCACTTTAAGACTTCTTGTGGTCATCCCTACATACTGGAGACCACAAGGGCACTCCAACAAGTAGATGACATTTTTGGTATCGCAACTGATAAAATCTTAAATTTTATAGGTTTTGTTGGTGATATTAGATTTAAAACTGGTGGTTTTGGAAGGGACGGAGGGGTCTGTGTTTTTGCATACAATGCATCTTTTACATTTATAAAAGCCACTGGCATTGGGCATAAAAGAATTAAAAGTAGGTTTGGTTTCTTTTGTAAAATTGGTGGTTAAAATGGATTTGAAGTTTGGGGCACCTCTAAAGACAACATTAGGCTTGTCAGGTATAATATTTTTAAGTATTTCGTCTTCTTTTAAGAGGTGCCAATGTTTTTTGATAATATTTTTCACATGGCCACGTTATTAAAATTGAAAATAACAGGAAGGGGCATGGTGTTGGTGGTGGGTTGGGTATTGTAAGTTAGGAGGTCTGCTCTATCTTTTTTGGTGATGGTATTTATAGTGGTGTTGAGACGGGTTGGTGAGTAATTTTTCTCAATAAATTTTTCTTTTAGATAATTTGATTGTTTGTTAAAATCTTCTATTTGGGAGCAATTCCTTCTGAGACGAAGGAATTGGCTTTGAGGGGCACTTTCCAACCAAGGTTTGTAATGGCAGCTAGATCTTTCGATAGCTGTGTTGACGCAGACCTTTTTAAAAAATGTTTTGGTGTGGATGGTATTGTCTGTAATGAAGATGTTGAGGTCTAAAAAATTAATAGATTCCTTACTTGTTTCGTGGGTTAGGGTAATGCCTCTATTGTTGATGTTGAGGCCATATGTGGCCTAACAAATCAAATATATATCATTGTATGTGAAATTGTAAGACCAACATTACATTAGATGTACACAGCTACTTTATAAATTCATTTAGATATAATGCACATCTTTTCTTATCTAGTGAAAACCAGGTGAATACTGAGATAGTCATGACTTCAGGAAACATAAAAAAAACTAGCCCAAAATTGCCCAAGGAGAAGTAAATAACAGACAATAAAAATGAATTAGCCCTTATTAGGATGTCTGTGGCATAACCCTTCTGCAGGGCTACAAAGATCAATCTCAACATCTCAACAAAGTGCATAAGATAGCAATATGCGTTTGATCAGTGTTGTAATTTGACTTGCAACCAGAAATATGTGTCCGGATGCCAGAAGCTCTGGTCTCTTCCAGAGATACTAACCCCCAAGATCAATGCATATTGTCTCCATGAAGCGGTCTGAATATTAACAGGACATTACTAGACCCCGCAGCATTCAAAGGTATTTCTTTCAACTCAGTCACAACAACATGCAGAGGAGTATTTATGAAAGAATACGAATACATCCTACATTTACATACAGACCCTCTATACAAATGCATACCTGCAGTCACGCACCAGAAATTCCCAATGTACACATACTGACAGACACTAATATACATCTACATTCGCAAACTATGGCGCTATACAAAAATCCATCCCTACATTGACACTGAATTCACAGACTTGATATATATATATATATATATATATGTATATCTACATCCCTGCATGAAAACACACTCAAATACATCAGGCTACACCACCGTAACCTGTCACACCGTTTTGTTATGCCTTGACACAAACTTGGGTCCCACACTGCTTTCAGTCTAAAAGCTGGATGCCAACTTTGTGCAAGATTATTATTATTATTTTATTATTTATATAGCGCCATCAGATTCCGTAGCGCTGTACAATGGGTGGACTAACAGACATTTAATTGTAACCAGACAACTGGACGTACAGGAACAGAGAGGTGGAGGGCCCTGCTCAATGAGCTTATAGCAGTTCAATCACTAACTTTTGGTATCTGATGCTCTCAGACAACTAATAAGTTCCTGTTTTGCAAAGAGTTGATATGTGGCTTTTAAAGAAGTGAGCTATTTGGGCTCCCAGTGGGACCCAGGTAAGTTTTACCCCACGCCAAATCAAATTGACAGATTACGGTGGAATGGCACCAAGGAACTTCTGGATTCACAATTACTTCAGTGTGCGTCAGCGTTTGCGGTGTTTACAGTGTTCCTTTAAGGACCAGACAAATTGGACTCACAGATCATGCCTTCATATTTCTAACTGTTTCTATGACTTAAGCTATACTTATTAAAAAAACATCTTTACTGTAAAAGTGATGTTTATTGCAGTTTGTTTTATTCATAATCCAGTTTTTTATCCTGCATTAAAAATTAACATCTCAATACATTTCTATTACAGCAATCTAAATATATTTAAAATGTTTAGTTCGTATTAAAAACATATTTCATTTCTAATTCTATGCCTATTACACTTCTGATTCATGCATCATATGGAGATTCATGTTACATGTAGTTATTTAATGGACTCTGTGGGGGGTGGGGAGGATATTTTTGTTTACAGTAAATCCAGCGTTGTCGGCAAATCAAATATTTTTTATTGAGGCAAAAACAAAAAGTGTTTTTAATTTCATACATTTCCATATGAAGCCCCATTAATATTGCCATGTGAGCCCTGAATCTGCCCACATAATAAAATATGTTGTATAATAAATATTTTTTAGAAAATAATCTTTGCTATTGCTAAAACAATACGTATATGCATAAACTACAAAAACAGTCACAGTGACTAACGTTTCACCAGCAGTAAAATTGAAAGCTTTAATGCACAAGAATATAAAATTAAAATCTCATCCGCACAGTCCAGTGATATAAAGAGCAGAGACCATGGCAGATTGAAGTTTTATAGCTGTTTTGGCTAGCTACAATTCATGTGATAAACAAATTTAGAACTCCAAGACCACGCACAGTCACATTGCACAATACAGGTTTTTGTTATACAGTCACAGACTTTATGAGATTCCTTGCTGGATTCTATTAAGCTTTTTTTGGCTCTCCAGTAGGTAACAGCCTTTTTTGTCTATCGTTATACAAAGAAACACATATTTTTGCTCAAACATTCCTTTTCGCCAAAACTCTGTTCTATTATGTTTACAGGGAAATGTTCTGCTTTGTTTATTTATTTTGGTTTACGTACGTTTACAGTTGTGCTCAAAAGTTTGCCTACCCTTGGAGAATTGGTAATATATGTACCATTGTTAAAGAAACCATGAGTGAGCAGGCAAAACATATTTCTTGTATTTCTTATGGGATTCATATTCAACTGTAGGTTATAATAGAATGGCACAATCATAAAACAAAAGATGGCAACAAAAAAAAATGAAATGACCCCTGTTCAAAAGTCTGCATACCCATAGTTCGTAATACTGTGAATTGCCCCTTTTAGCATCAATGACAGCGTGCAGTCTTTTGTAATAGTTGTCTATGAGGCCCCAAATTCTTGCAGGCGGTTTAGCTGCATGGCCGGCGAATTCTATAGGCCAACTAGGCAGCCGCCTAGGGCACTGCTTAAAGGGGGGCGCCGGCAGGAGCTTTACTGCTCTGCTCCTTTGGTTGTCCCTCTATGTTCTAATAATTCTACAATTTGTGCCGGGAGCCATGTTACCAGGCGCTAGGGACACTTACATGTCTGCTGGCTAGCGCCCAGTGTAACACTGGTCCGAAGGCATCCACTTCCGCCTGCTCAACCAGGCCACCCAGAAGCACTCCCATTGCCACGAGAGTGCTTCAATTTCTCGCCCTCGCCGCTTGCCCTATATGTGGGGACAAGTGGGCGGGAGCATAGCTGACATGCAGTGAAGGCGGCCAGGCGCAGGGAAGCGGACAGAAACACGTGACATATTTTGAATCAGATTATGAACTGTAAAGAAATTTTGCATTGTATTGCAGTGCAGATGCATTGAAAACACATATCATTAACAAATGCGATGCAATCCAAAATTGAAAACAAAGATAATGCATTAGCAATTTGCTAGTGCCAACATGCATCAAAGCAAACTCCAAGTTTTAGCAAAATGCACAGGGGGATTTATTCACTGAATAATGAATTATAGTTGTCTGTCTATAAAGTTTATATTTTGCATTGTGAACTTCATTACAACCTCGTTATTTTTTTTGTGTGTGAATAAATTCCCTTTGAGTTCTAGATTGCAAATGCATGGCAATTTGTTACGGTTTCATTTAATGCTTGCCCTTAAAGGACCAATATAGTGTCAGGAAAACAAACTCGTTTTCCTGGCTCTATATAATCCTTAGGGTCCCGCCACCCTCAGGGCCCCCCTCCTTCTGGGCTGAAGGGGTTAAAACCCCTTCAGCCACTTACCTTAATCCAGCGCTTTCCTATTAATGTTCTGCAGGCTGAATGCGATTCTAGCGGCTGTCAGGAAGACAGCCACTGGAGGCTGGATTAACCCTGCAATGTAAACATAGCAGTTTCCCTGAAACTGCTATGTTTACATCGGAAGAGTTAAAACCTGGGGGACCTGGCACCCAGACCACTTAATTGAGCTGAAGTGGTCTGGGTAACTATAGTGGTCCTTTAAAGGAGAGGAGACCAATTCTTGTTTTTCTCCTGAATTTCAGTTCAATAGAGTGAAGAAAAAATATATAATTTTACCAAATGATTAACTATTTTGACAATTAAAGACCATTGTATGTCAGCAAAAATAATCTTCAGTGAATTCACTATTTAATGCATAATGTACATTTTGCTTTAATATTGATTGTTTTCATGTATTTTCTGTTAGATGCTCACCCAGTCACTCCTTCACAAAATCATTAAAAACTCACCTTTTTACAAAAGCATATCAATTAAACCTTAGATTCCTCTTCTGCAACTGTCATTAGTCTAATACTATCCTTACCTTTTGTGTCATTTTACCCCACTCCCTCTAGCATGTAAGCTCATTGAGCAGGGCCCTCAACCTCTCTGTTCCTGTGTGTCCAACTTGTCTGGTTACAATTACATGTTTGTTAGTCCACTCATTGTAAAGAGCTAGGGAATTTGTTGGCGCTATATAAATATTAATAATATACACACTTTATCTGGCTACTCTTTAATTTCAAAATAAGCATTGAGTTTATTCATAAACAAATAGTTTTATGACGACAGTTGTCATAAAACTTTGGAAGAATCAGAAGCAAGACTTAAAGGAACACTATTGTGCCAGGAATACAAACATGTATTCTTGTCACTATTGGTGTAAAAACACATTTAAGTTCGATTTAGGTAGATGTCACTTACCTTTTTCCAGTGCCACATGGGTTTCCTCGCAGGAAAGCATTGGGAGGCTAATGTGCATGGCCGGCAGAATGTCACGCTTGCCAATCAGCATCTCCTCATAGAGACGCATTGAATCAATGCATCTCTATGAGGAGCGTTCAACGTCTACATGCAAAGTGTGGTGACAGTGAATGTTAGCGCTGCACACTGTACTTCACTGGCCCAGGAGGTGTTTTCTGAAAATGAAGTGTTTATATTAAAAAGCCTGCAGGCACAGGCTATAGACACCAGAACAACTACATTACGCCATAGTTATGCTGGTGACTATAGTGTCCTTTTAATTCGTAAGTTTTCCTTTCGAAAACTGGCTGGATTTAACTTGATTCCAGGTGTGTACTTGATAGCTAGTGATTCTGCTGACGTAAAGGGACACTCCAAGAACCATAACCAGTACATCCTACCGCAGTGGTTTTGGTGCCAGGGGTGCCGGCAACCTCCCATTGTAAGTAGTAAAAATGTTCATGAATCATTTGACAACTTACTTGGAGATGTGCAGGGCATAGGTCAAATATTCCACTCGAGCCCCAAAGCTCCTGCATAGAGCTCCCGTTAGCTCCCCTGAGATAAGCCCTATAATTCAAGCCCAGCTCATTGTCTGAGAGCATGAGTCGAGCTAAGCTATGCACCACCAGGTTGTAGAGATGGAGATGAGTTATCAAAGGTAAGTTGTCAAACTGTTTGCAAACGGTTTATCTACTTACACTACAAGGGCGCCAAGGCATTACTGACACCACTACCACTAAAGCGGACTGTAATGGTTATGGTGCTTGGAGTGTTCCTTTAAACAGTTACGATCCCCAATTTTAATTTTGCAAATAAACAACCATGATAGTTTATTTCATGACTCAGGTAATCCATTTCTCAAATGACCAGTGAGTACGTTGCACAGTTTTTACAAGGTGTGTATTACTTTTTTAAATGAAGGAAATTAAAAAAAAACAAAAAAAAATTGCTATTCTTTCTTTTAAGCAGTACAAACAAAAAAAATAAAGCTTTTTTGTGGTTTTCTTTTTCACCTTATGACCTACTCATGCACATCACAAATGTTTATACAAGATAAGCAATCAGCATGTTCAGGAAAGTCGGTTTCAATTTGGTTCATGCACTAAAAAAAAAATGTAAATAAAATGAACTGCACACCACTATAGAACGTATGCCCATATTTTAAATTCACTTACATGTGTGATCATTTTTAACTGGCAAAACCAATATTTTCACATGAAACTATTTAGATGTTAATTTTTATGACTATTCTTTTATAATCAGGTATAAACAAATAAAAGTAGGACTGTTCTTCACCTTCAAAGGCAATGTTTGGAATGGTCATTATGCTAAATACATTTGAGAAAGATGATAGTTATCGATTAAAAAATGCAAATGTATATCTTATGTGCCATTTGCAGGACTCGTTTAATTAATATATATATTTTTTTTATAAAGTGACATTTATTGGGAATCCATGTGCAAAGACATACAGTAAATAGAACTCCTCCTCGGGCGCGATAAAACACTTCAAAGGCCTGGGGCCGGCTGGGCACCATGTGGCAAGAAACAATCAAACATGCGCTACGCTCTCATATAATAAAAGCCATGAACAAAAAGTACAAAGAAAATCTCTATTTATAATCTTCAATCACAATGTGCAAATTCAAGGTTTCCATCAATGCACAAAAACAATCTGAATTATTTAAAACCTAAAGTGATGCGGGCACAAACTTAAAACAAGGGCAACACAGTATCGGGCTTAAATCTTTTATGCTGAGTACTTTGTTGTTCACACTATCTGTCTCTACATGCATTGGACAAAGTGTGGAACGTCATTTTAGGTTTCAAAGAGTATTGCTCACATTTGGAATGATGCACTAAACTTTGAATTAGAACAAATTAGATCAGAATTGTAAACTTCAAACTATAATATCCAAACTGGGACTACTGGGGCTACTCTAAGAAATTTTAGGTGACTAATAATTCACTCAACTAAAATGTAATTTAGAACAAGAACAAAGCATTTTATTTACACAGACTGATTTCTGTACATAGTTATTGTACTCTAAAGACACATTGCTGTGAGAGTTATTGGAGTGGAGAGCTATTTTACACTCAGACAAACCAACAATATGAAGCTCCTAGAGAAGAGGGAAAGGAGGATTTGACCACAAAATAGGGACTGTCTCTTATAAATAGGGACACTTGAGAGGTATGTAGTTTCATTACAGTGTTAATGACTCTTCTTTGGAAGGATTGTGATTACCAAAACTTGATGGCTTGTGTAACGTTTAGGGCTCTTTTTCACTAATTATTATTATTATTGGTATTTATATAGCGCCAATCCGAAAATTTTAAAATTTTTATCAGAGCGGTAGGACGGTTAGCTGTCAAACATGTTGATAATTATTGAACATGAGAGTCACAATTCGCACTATTATTAATATTATTATTATTGGTATTTATATAGCGCCAGCTTATTCCGCAGCGCTTTACAATAAAAGTTGAATTTACCAAATGAGACAATAACAAAATGTAACAGTCTATAGACTGTAAGCTCTTTTGAGCAGGGTCCTCTTCAACCTATCGTTCCTGTAAGTTTTCTTGTAATTGTCCTATTTATAATCCCCCCTCTCATAATATTGTAAAGCGCTATGGAATCTGTTGGCACTATATAAATGGCAATAATAATAATAATAGTTGAGGACCCTGCTCAAACGAGCTTACAATCTAGAGGAGGTGGGGTATAAAAACACAATAGGAAGGATATTGAGGGAGACAGCAAATAGACATGGTGGGAAAGTAGCAGAACTGGAGGTGAGAGTGGAGTGTGGCCCTTTAGAAGAGAGCGAGAGGAAGGTTTGAGAGATAAAGGTTACTTTTGGAGGCCATAAGCATTTGCAGTAAGGGTGCGAGCAGCAGACAGGAGAAGGTCACCAGTAGAGCGGAGAGACCAAGAAGGGGTTATACCTAAAGCAGCAGACAAGTTAGGTTGAACTTTGTTACTGAAATCAGTGAAGAAATGTAAGAGGGGCTAGAGTTGGTTAGAGGTTTATAGGCAAGGGTTAGTATTTTAAATAGATACCTGTAGGGTACAGGAAGCCAGTGTAAGAATTGACAGAGGGGTGAGGTGTGAGAGGAGAGACAGGAGAGAAAGATGAGCCTGGCAGCAGCATTAACCACAGATTGTAGGGGGGCAATACGGTTTCTGGGGAGACCAATTAGGAGAGAAGTACACTTATCGAGGCAAGAGATTACTATAGCATGATCAAGCTCCTTGGCAGCATCTTGCGTAAGAAAGGGGCATATGCGGGCAATGTTTTTAAGTTGGAATCAACAGGTTTTAGCAACAGACTTGAGGTGCAAAAGTGAGGCCAGAATTAAAAGTGACACAAAGACAGCAAGCTTGAAAGGATGGGGTGAGGCAGGTACTGTCAACCTGCAGGGAGAGTGAAGGAGGAGGATCAGTATTATGAGTTGGAAAAATAAGAAACTCAGTTTTAGAGAGATTGTTTCAGAAAGCGGGAGGACATCCAATCAGAGATAGAAGAGAGGCAGTTGGTGACATGTTACAGGACAGCAAGGGAGAGGTCCGGTTCAGGTCATTATCATTTAGAACAGGAGTGCCCAAAAGGTAGATCCAAGATGTTGTAGAACTACAACTCCCATGATGCTTTGCATATCTCTAGAATGCTTTAGAATGACAAAGTATCATGGAGGTAGCAGCTTTAAAACATCTGGGGATCTACCATGTGGGCACCCCTGATTTAGAATCAATATTTTTTTGTACGGTCTATTAAATGGGATTGAAACATTTTTAAAAGCTTCCAGGATTAGGATTTGCGTGTTACCCTCTTCTCTGGAAGTATAAGGTTAACAATTCACAAAAATAAGTTTATAATGTAAAAGGAATGATTCCACTCAGGTTTCTGTAAAAGCCATCTGAGCCCCACCCTTGGCTATATTCTACATAACAGCACATTGCTAAAAGTTACCATTAAGTGCCTTTAATTAGATACATGTGACCGGTTTGTAAAAGCTTTCTTTCCAAAAACATGTAGAAATGGCATTCTCCAGACAAACAATCACGCCACACAGCGCTTTGCAGATGTCATTGTTAGTAACATTTTGTTCTGTTTTGGAGTTTTTCTTTACGGAGTTTGAAACATGAGGAAGTAATTCAACACACTGTGTTTATTCAACATACACCCTACTATTACCTTTCCATTAGTGCAATTAGAAATGTAAGGAAAATCTGTCTGAATTTATAGAGGTATAGATTGTGATAGCAGATGAGCTCCAAATGACCTGTTTAAACTTTCTGTTAAGAATGTTAACACAAACTGAGTTTCTTTAACCCCTTAAGGACACATGACATGTGTGACATGTCATGATTCCCTTTTATTCCAGAAGTTTGGTCCTTAAGGGGTTAAGGGTTTCCTTTGACCCCTTAAGGACCAAACTTCTGGAATAAAAGGGAATCATGACATGTCACACATGTCATGTGTCCTTAAGGGGTTAAGGGACACTAGTTTCTTCAAGCAATTCAGCTTCCTGAAGTGCTTTATACATTCAAGGTCAATGGTCATCAAATTTTCACTTCTCTTTAAAAAGATTTTTTTAAATAAAAGTTTATTACATTTAATGATACTTAATGCTTTTTTGTTTTCATTTTTTTTTTAACTATGTACAGGTTTATTGATTTTTGGAGAATATTTCACTTTTTTTTGTTTTTTAATCTGGCTGAGCAGCCATGTTCGGTCAGATTCAACTGTTATCTGACAACTGCTGCTCAAACTAACTTGCCTGCTGCGGCAATTGCTGAGTGTACCTACGGCAGCAGACAAGTTAGGTTGAACAGCAGTTGGTCCTGTAACAGTAGAATTTGACCCAACATGGTTAGGATTTCAGTTAGAGGACAACTGACATTAAAGGACCACTATAGTGCCAGGAAAACATACTCGTTTTCCTGGCACTATAGTGCCCTGAGGGTGCCCCCACCCTCAGGGTCCCCCTCCCGCCCGGCTCTGGAAGGGGGAAAGGGGTAAAAACTTACCTTTTTCCAGCGCTGGACGGAGAGCTCTCCTCCTCCTCTCCGCCTCCGTTACGCCCCGCCGGCTGAATGTGCACGCGCGGCAAGAGCTGCGCGCGCATTCAGCCGGTCTCATAGGAAAGCATTTACATTGCTTTCCTATGGACGCTGGCGTGCTCTCACTGTGAAAATCACAGTGAGAAGCACGCAAGCGCCTCTAGTGGCTGTCAATGAGACAGCCACTAGAGGATTAGGGGGAAGGCTTAACCCATTCATAATTATAGCAGTTTCTCTGAAACCGCTATAATTATGAAAAAATGGGTTAACCCTAGAAGGACCTGGCACCCAGACCACTTCATTAAGCTGAAGTGGTCTGGGTGCCTAGAGTGGTCCTTTAAGTTTCACTTCTCGTTTTTTAAAAGTTTATTATATTTAATTGTTTCATGACATTAATGATTTTTAAAAAAAATGAAAATGTCACATTTTTACTTGGCTGAGCAGCCATGTTGGTTCATATTCAACAGTTATCTGACCAAATGCTGCTCAACCTAACTTTCCTGCTGCTGTAGGTTCACACAGAGCAACTGCTGCAGCAGGCAGGTTAGGTTGAGCAGCAGTTGGTTGCATATCAGTAGAATCTGAACATTTGAACCAACATGACTGCTCAGCCAGATAAAAATGTAAAATTATCTTTAGAAACAATTTAAAAAAAATCAATGTTATAATTAAATATATATATATAAAATCATGTATAATTAAATGTACTAAACTTTTAAAAGCTGAGAAGTAATAATTATGGCATTTTGGTTAATAATTTAAAATGGTTAAAATCTCTGCTTGTGTTCCATGAGATGCTAAGAGCAAGTAGTAGATGTACGGGAGTCATGATCACAGATAACTGTATTTGTCCTTTTGTCATTGCCAGGTATTAAATCAAAGCTTCCCAAACCAGTCCCACTTTTTGACAATTAGATGCCTTAAATCAGGGGTTCTCAACCCAGTCCTCAAGGACCCCCGAACTGTCCAGGATTTAGGGATTACCCTGCTGTGTCTAATGTGTTTTTTTAGGGGTGGGTGGGACAAACACTTTAGACACAACAGGGTAATCCCTAAATCCTGTTTTGGTAGGGGGTCCGGTCGGGTTGAGAACCGATGCCTTAAATGGTATAATGGAAAAATATATATCTAATCTGTAGCAAAATGATATATCTATGTCTTATTTGTTGCTATAGCGGCCGATCCTGTAATCGCCTTCCATGAAAATAGAGAGAAAGATGGCAACTTGTGTAATGAACATATGAGGCTGCATCAACGCTTAGATGTCATAGAGGAGGTAAGGATAGCAGGCTGAAAAATCAAATGTATAAGCAGTTCGAAATATGGTAAGATTTTCTCAGAATGGCAAAAGATGTGTATTCCTTATAACTATGAATGGGGAACCCAATTCTTAGGCTAGAATATACTGTATATTTATATATGCGTCTTTAGAATGCTTTTCTAAATAACTCTAAAGCCATCAGAATTCCATCAGACAGGCTGGTCCTCATGCGGTGTATAGCACTAGCCGAACTCAGACTCCACAATCTGACACGAGTGTGGAAAGGCTGAATATTTCTGATTGTGACAGTCTCTACAACAAAAAATAAGCCCAAATTTGTTAAACTAAACAGTAAACAGTCAGAACCATATAAAGTAAATACAAAAAAAGTTTTTCTTTACAACATGCCAGTAAAGGAGATTTTCCTCAGAATTCAGCTTAAGATAACACACACCGTGAATACTGCTGCACTTGGTAAGGTTCACATTTTATATATATTTGTATTTTATATACACAGAGAGGCAACTGAGAAAGAAAAAACATAACAAAATATACTTTACGCGTATTAGGCTCAGCCATGCTTAATTGCTTTATCATAAAAATAAATCACAACAGCATTCACAGTGTTTTATCTCAACCGGTTTCTAAATGGTAGGTTTGAAGCGTATAGTTTTAAAGAAACAATCCTTTCTATTAGGTGATCTAGGAGTAATCTTAGCTACAAACTTTGAAAGCGTATTAAGCACTTTTGAAGAAGAAAATAAGTTTACACAAAGATACCAATCTGGAAAAGGTTACAAATCCATACAAATATGCAAGATTCCATACAAGAGATGCTTTTGGAATGTGAACGTTATGCAGAGAATTTTTTTACAGTCAAGTAAATTATTTAACACAAGCCTTTGAACCTCAAAATATTGATCCTACTGATATTAATTGGTGCTGAGATCTTTTCTTCTCGCCTACATCCACCACACGTTGGTTGGGTGAGGGGGAGAATACTGCAGAAGTGGCACATTATGTGAGTTACTTGTTCTTGGCTCTGTTTTGGTCAATAGAAAGTTCAAAGTAACCCCACTTGTGTTTTTTCTCTACTGTTTTTCTCTAGTATTTATAACGCTACTGCAAGTTGACCCATTTTGGTTTTTTTAGGATCAGTTCAGGAGTCTACCAGAGATATATGCCACCTATCGTGATTAATTCACATCAATGTGGATATATAAACATTCAATTATATTTTATTGAGGTAATGATATAACGTTACAGAAAGGGAAAGTATGCGTAAGGTAAAGCACAGGTATAACATGGTATTTCACATTTGTTTGGTAATACCCCATTTTTGTATTAGAAAAACAGGCTAAATCAGGCTACAAGTATGTCTAAACGGAGAGCATGAGGTCTATCTTGAAGCATGTGACACTAGTTAGACATGTCGATGGAAATAAGATAGCAATTCTGCATGACATGTTAAATTGGCAAGATGTTATTACCCATCTACACAGCTAGAATTAAGCATAGACTAGGGCAGCACATTATAGGGTGCACATGGATAGATTAAAAGGGAAAATGAAACTTGCATAACGTGGTACCCCATATGCATCCAGGCTTTTTTTATATGATTCACCCTATCCCCACACTAAATTTTTTATTTTTTTTCGAAAATATATTTTATATTATTTTATAAACATTGTGAATTTCTGGTTATTTTAATGAACTGAATTATTCGAAATCATTTGTGCCAAGTCATCTGAAACAAATGTTACCTTAACTAAATAATCTTTAGCGCATTGGAGCTAAAGATTTATTACTTAAGATATAGTTTGGCTCTTTAAAAACATTCAAACAGTCTACCTTCTATTGTGATGATGCTAATATTAAGAACTTCTTGATTTCACAGTTTATAAAATGGAGTTTTCCATCTCAATGAATTAAGAAAACGGATTAATTCACGTTATTATAGAATAAAACCAATTTCAAACACTTTGAAAAAAAACAACAACTTCGTGAATACCATTGGAATTTATAGTATGGATTTTCATTGTTGGCTAATATTCTATATTCAACAGTTTCCTTAAAGTTTAATATTTCAGGATTATTAATATAACAAAAATATGAAATTCATTCATTTTGCAGTTGTGTACTAGACACAATGACAGCACCACCTTGTGGCACACAAGGTCTTACTTTGTAACTATTCTGGTATCCTTTATTTGAAGCTATCGGACAGACCTAAAGAAAATCTAAACAAAAAGAAATTAGAAAAAAGGGCTATGGCACTATTACTTGTGAAATAATAAAGGAATAGAATGATGTAAAGAGACAGGGAATTTACAAATTTTAGACAAAACAGCTCTGGTACAAAATAAGCAACTTTGCAGAATTTATCAATCTAGGGTATGTTGGCCTAAAATCTGCAGTTTTCTTGTCAAGATAGATTAGGGAATAAAACATGATACTCTCCAAGTCCTTTAAACCCGAACCCAAACAGAATTTAATTTCCTGTCTTCGTAAAAAAATATTTATGGTTAGAATTCTTATACCAATTAGTTTTTTGCTGCAAAAACAACTTCAAAAAGATGTATTTTTATTTTTTTCTATAATGATTTAAAATGAGTGTCAACTACAATGTTCAACTCTAAAACATACCCTCCCCATGTTATTTTCTTTATAAATATACACAAAATCTCACCTCCTTGAATATATGGTATACCACTAATGGATTTCATTTAAGACTGCACTATTAAAGTGGTATTTGACTACGGACTTACATTACTATTGAAATAACAGACGTATTAAAATAATTTTTCATTTTATTTTATTTTTTTGCAGCAAGTGGAAAAGACTGTGGAAAATCTGTATTCAGAGATGAATTCATTGCTGGAGTCTTTGTCATCGGCATCATGGGCACTACCAGTCATTCCTGGCCCCCCTGTCTTGGATATATTTGAGGAGGGTGTGTGTGCATTTTATTTAGACAAACAATGACTTGTTAGAATAGCTGGAAGAATTTAGGTAGATTTCAATGATTCCAGCTTAGGGACTGGTTCAATCGAAGCGTATAAAAGGAAATTAACTGTCTCAGTAGTTTTTTGGCATATGTGTTTAGTACTCATGAATCCTGAATCATATTTTTTTCTAAAAAATATGCAATTAATTGTGCGTTACTAGAATGTATGCCGAGCTTTAAAAGGTCAGTCCATATTTCTGGTGCATTACTGCGAAATGCGTGGTGTTTAGAGCCCCCTGACCAATTCTCATGTCTGAGAATGGTTTATAACAGCAGCAATTTGTAAATCTATAAGACAGCAAACCAAAGCTATCAATCAGGCAGCCTGGAACCATTTCTTCCAATTTGCCTGATGTCTTTTTAGTCCATATTGTGCACAAAACATGCATATGGCACATGCACACTAGAGAAGTCACGGATGCATATGTGCAGTCCACAGCTCTGATGGTGGAGGACACAAGAAAACGCAACCAAGTTCGCTAAACAGTGAACCTGAAATCTGTTAAAACATATTCCTGAAAGGCTGTAATTACATCATAATATTGGATTTCACAGATGTCACGCAGCACTTTGCTGATTATTAGTAAAATATGTGCCTGTATGACTCCAGAAATTAGAATTCGGCACTTCACCTGTGCATTAGCCTTTTTTTTATTGCTGCTGACTAACCGCTACATTTTCAATATGGATTTAAAAGACAAACTTGGAACAAATGACGAATTACTACATTGTTAGCCCAAGGATTGCCATTTTAATTAGAGTGCAAAAAAATAGAGCAAAGTTGATTCTCACATTTCAGGAAGGGAATAGTTACTTTAGTTTGTTTATTGACGTTGCGGTATTTAAACAATATATATTTTTTCTCTTACAGATTCCAGATAAAGATGATTTTCCATACACCCTTATCTGACACAATCTCCCTCCTTCATCACACAATTTCATAGTCTTTTCTTATGTGCACTTTGTGATTTATAGAAATTTTATATGAATAAAAAAAAATAAAAAAAACATTGTTCTATATCCATCAAAGTGTTGCTGTGTTATAAAATGTGTAATGTGTATAAAAATTTGTAAACCTACTACTAATTAGTAGTGATGTCGTGAACCGTTGAAGCTGCCTTCAACATGGATGCTGTCCAGGAGGTGGGAGGGTCTGGGAGGGAGGGTCTGCTGGAGATTGGACGGGATGTGTCAGCTGACCGGAGCTCGCCACGAACCTTGGCGATCCGTTGGCGGGAAGTTCGCGAACGGTTGGCGGGAAGTTCGCGAACGGTTGGCGGGAAGTTCGCGAACGGTTGGCGGAAAGTTCGCGAACGGTTGGCGGGAAGTTCGCGAACGGTTCGCGACATCACTACTAATTAGTAAAAAATAAAAAAAAAATAAAAAGTTTATATGTAGGTTTTAAATCAAATGATTAGAATTCTGGATGAAACCGAATAATGGCAAAAAATAATTCTCCATAAAATGATGCATCCTTTTAAACATGGATATCCAACAACTTGCAATATATTCAGAATTTTGTTAAAAAAATTTAAGTTTCCATCTGCACTATGGCATTGTGGGTTACTGACCAAGTGATTTGTGGATGGGCGAGTACCAACCAAAATTTACCAAACGGGAGGGAGGGCAGTAAGGGGGTCAGGACTTGTAGTGGGGGATGATAGGCAATAAAAGGGGAATAGGGACTGTAGTGGGTGCTTAGTGGCAATAGTGATGGGTTAGGGGCTGTAGTGGGTGCTTAGTGGCAATAGTGGGGGGTTAGGACCTGTAGTAGGTGGTTAGAGGCACTAGTGGGGGGTTAGAACCTGTAGTAGGTGGTTAGAGGCAATATTGGGGGGTTAGTACCTGTAGTAGGTGGTTAGAGGCAATATTGGAGGGTTAGGACCTGTAGTAGGTGGTTAGAGGCAATAGTCGGGGTTTGGGCCTGTAGTAGGTGGTTAGAGGCAATAGTGGGGGTTAGGGCCTATAGTAGGTGTTTAGAGGCAATAGTGCGGGGTTAGGACCTGTTGTAGGTGGTTAGAGGCAATAGTGGGGGGTTAGGACCTGTAGTAGGTGGTTAGAGGCAATATTGGAGGGTTAGGACCTGTAGTAGGTGGTTAGAGGCAATAGTCGGGGTTTGGGCCTGTAGTAGGTGGTTAGAGGCAATAGTGGGGGTTAGGGCCTATAGTAGGTGGTTAGGGGCAAAGTGGGGGGTAGGACCTGTAGTAGGTGGTTAGGGGCAAATAGTGGGGGTTAGGGAACCTATAGTAGGTGGTTAGGGGCAAAGTGGGGGGTTAGGACCTGTAGTAGGTGGTTAGGGGCAAAGTGGGGGGGTTAGGACCTGTAATAGGTGGTTAGAGGCAATAGTGGGGGGTTAGAACCTGTAGTAGGTGGTTAGAGGTAATAGTGGGGGGTTAGGACCTGTAGTAGGTGGTTAGAGGCAATAGTGGGGGGGTTGGGACCTGTTGTAGGTGGTTAGTGGCAATAGTGGGGAGGTTAGGACCTGTACTAGGTGGTTAGAGGCAATAGTGGAGGGTTAGAACCTGTAGTAGGTGGTTAGAGGCAATAGTGGAGGGTTACCTGTAGGTGGTTAGAGGCAATAGTGGGGGGTTTGTAGGTGGTTAGAGGCAATAGTGGGGTTAGGGCCTATAGTAGGTGTTTAGAGGCAATAGTGGGGGGTTAGGACCTGTTGTAGGTGGTTAGAGGCAATAGTGGGGGGTTAGGACCTGTAGTAGGTGGTTAGAGGCAATATTGGAGGGTTAGGACCTGTAGTAGGTGGTTAGAGGCAATAGTCGGGGTTTGGGCCTGTAGTAGGTGGTTAGAGGCAATAGTGGGGGTTAGGGCCTATAGTAGGTGGTTAGGGGCAAAGTGGGGGGTTAGGACCTGTAGTAGGTGGTTAGGGGCAAAGTGGGGGGGTTAGGACCTGTAATAGGTGGTTAGAGGCAATAGTGGGGGGTTAGAACCTGTAGTAGGTGGTTAGAGGTAATAGTGGGGGGTTAGGACCTGTAGTAGGTGGTTAGAGGCAATAGTGGGGGGGTTGGGACCTGTTGTAGGTGGTTAGTGGCAATAGTGGGGAGGTTAGGACCTGTAGTAGGTGGTTAGAGGTAATAGTGGGGGGTTAGGACCTGTAGTAGGTGGTTAGAGGCAATAGTGGGGGGTTGGGACCTGTTGTAGGTGGTTAGAGGTAATAGTGGGGGGTTAGGGCCTGTAGTAGGTGGTTAGAGGCAACAGTGGAGGGGTTAGGACCTGTTGTAGGTGGTTAGGGGCAAAGTGGGGGGGTTAGGACCTGTAATAGGTGGTTAGAGGCAATAGTGGGGGGTTAGAACCTGTAGTAGGTGGTTAGAGGTAATAGTGGGGGGTTAGGACCTGTAGTAGGTGGTTAGAGGCAATAGTGGGGGGGTTGGGACCTGTTGTAGGTGGTTAGTGGCAATAGTGGGGAGGTTAGGACCTGTACTAGGTGGTTAGAGGCAATAGTGGAGGGTTAGAACCTGTAGTAGGTGGTTAGAGGCAATAGTGGAGGGTTAGAACCTGTAATAGGTGGTTAGAGGCAATAGTGGAGGGTTAGAACCTGTAGTAGGTGGTTAGAGGTAATAGTGGGGGGTTAGGACCTGTAGTAGGTGATTAGAGGCAATAGTGGGGGTTAGGGCCTGTAGTGGCGTTTAGAACCTGTAGAGGGGGGTTAGGGACAATAGTGTGGGCTTAGGACCAGAAGAGCGAGCCCAGGACTGTGGTTCTGCCTAAAACTGAACATAGCCTGGTTCACTAAAAAGTGAACTGGGCTATGTGAAACTGATAGCTGCGCTGTGGTACTATCTGTGTGGTAAAAAAATATATATATATCAATCAGGCAGCATTGATTAGATCAGCGTTTCTATTCGTATTAACAAATTATTTTAAGTTTCGGTCATATAAACGGTTTTGCACTTTGTGCTTATCTAGAGATTTACATGTTATCAATTTATATTCCCATTAATGCATGTCACTTTTCTTTAATAAGCCTTTTAAAAACATGCTTGCCTGTCATTTTAATGAAGAACAAATGTGCTAGTTATGGTTATTACAGTAAATGTCAGGATCCTTCCAATGCAACACGAGATACTCAAGGGAGAAAATAAAGAAAAGAAAAAAAAAATATGGCATTTCATGGATAGCGCATTTATTTTAATTCCACACCAACAACATCTGTGCATATCTAACAATTGTAAAATTATTTTGCAAACAATCACAGATACATTATATCTTGAAAAGACAACCATTTATGACATAGCTCACTCCATCTAGCATTCAGACCTTGACTAATGCACTTCCTCAACTGAATCAACTCAACCCCTGAAAGTTATTTTTCTGTATTGCAAAAGGTTTATAAAATCTGATTAAAATTCTGGAAAAAAACAAAACAAGAAAAGAAAACACACTAGCTAATATAAAATAGGCACATACACTTGCACTTGGTTTAGAGTATAAAAACGAGTTCTGCATAGATTTTTGTTTATATAAAAGCTTTGGTAAGGCTTTGAGTAGACAAACATTGCCATTCTCCAGCTGGACCAGGAATGCACTCTAAAACAATGCAGACCCATTTATTAAAAACAAAGGAAACAAGCAATTACGAATTACAAGCACGAGCAGGCAGGCATTTCCACAGTCTCATGAGTATGGCTATGATATTTCACTAAGTGGTTCAATACATTAACAAATGGGGATCTGTATATGGCCTTTGCACCCATAACTAGTCCTAATTATAAAGAAATGATCCGCATTTTCCGTTAGGCATGGAATTAAAAAAAAACAGTCTAAGCACCATAATCAATGTAAATTAATGTAGTGGTTATGGTGCTTAAAGTCTATAGGGTCCAATTATTTTAGAGGGCTCTTGACACCTACAGCTTGCGTCCTCTGCAGCTGCACTAATAATGCAGAAACTACACTTCTACCCTATCAAGTGTTAGTTCTGTCTAACCTGTATAGAAATGATTGACTAAGAGATTCCATAGACTGGTAGCACCATTACTACTACAATGAGATGTAGTAGTGTTGGTGCTTTGAGTATCCCTTTAATTCAGCCTTGTGTTAGCACTGAGCAAAAGGTGTGTAATGTCTCGCAATACACTACAATGATTAGAAAGAAAACAACTGTATAGTTCACGCACACTAACTATATGTCGGTAGTGACAACGAGGTGATCACCAGATAACATATCACTATTCAGTTTATGTAATGTTATGTATTATAACCTTGTTGGTTTTTTCACAGATTAAAACATACTTTTAAAATTTTGAGATATTAACAGCAGGCACCATCTTAAAACAAATAATTCCTTTGTGTATTGACATGTTTCGACAAGGTAAGAAAAACAATATGATTGCCATCATGGGTCCTGATCTACAATGACTACTAACACAAGGGGAGAAACATTTCAAGAACTTAAAAACAATCTGTGACAGAAATGAAATGGTAACAGTGTGGCAGACATATTATGCCAGAAAATATGATAAAGCGCAGTAGTGTGGTGGAGATAAGGATCTAAGGACATTGTGATCAAGACATAACCAAGGAGAGATGTATGCCTGAGAGTGTTTTATGTATATGTACAAAGACTTTATAGTGACAAAGTCTCCTACTAAAGCAACATGTTGCACCAGAAAATTACGATTAAAGAGTTGGAGGCCCATCATACAGAAATCTTGATTTTTATCAAACTCCCCAATGCAGATAAGAATGGACAGAGATATTCTCTCATACAAAAGAGTGAATGCTACATTCAGTCATTTCCACCACACAGTTTCAAGAGAATCTTCCTGTAGTCTCCTGATGTGTCTCCCTGTGACAAAAAAAAAATAATAGACGTCAAATTCAGAAAAATCACATGCACGGAAGTGTTATGGTAAAGTATCAGACTTCAAATGGCTCAGAATCTACACGGTTTCCCAATGCACTCTAATAACAATAATAACATCCCACAAATCACACAGTTTTCAGTTAATACATGTGATGCACAGTCTGAGATGGTTAAATAGAAAACTTAATACAAAATAGAAAGAAATACAATTGAATGTCTTTTTGCTGATGATACTAAAATATGTAACAGGGTTGATGTTCCAGGAGGGATAAGCCAAATGGCAAATGATTTAGGTAAACTAGAAAAATGGTCAGAGTTGTGGCAACTGACATTTAATGTGGATAATTGCAAGATAATGCATCTTTGACAGAAAAACCCAAGGGCAGAGTACAGAATATTTGATATTTGATAGAGTCCTAACCTCAACATCTGAGGAAAGGGATTGAGGGGCATAGGCGTGCGCACGGGGTGTGCCGGGTGTACCTGGGCACACCCTAATCCGCGCGGCACGCCTATGTTTTATGCTATCCGAGTGCCGGCTCTGCTCTAAGCCTCCATGGGCCGGTGGGGGGATCAAAGATCTACCTCACCGGCCCATAGCAGCATGGAGGGAGGCAGGAGAGGACCCGGGGAGCCCTAGCCAGCAGCTCTGCCAGGTTCCTCTTGCGAGAACTGAGCGTTGCCACGGCAATGCTCAGATCTCGCGAGAGTGAACTCTAACCCTGCAGGCTAGAGTTCACTCTCCACTGGACCACCAAGGATGGCAGCAACAACAAGGATCCCCCCTCCCTAAATAAGGTAACAAGGGAGGAGGCATATTAACAGACCTGCCCCCAACTCCACCCCCACAATCACCCAAACATACAGCACCCACACACACAGCACAGCACACAAACAGCACCCACACCACACACCACACTAACAGCACCCACACCACACACCACACTAACAGCACCCTCACACACACCACACTAACAGCACCCTCACACACACCACACACTAATAGGACCCTAACAAACACACACACACACAAACAGCACCCTCACCCTCACACATGGCACACAAACAGCACCCTCACAAACACACAAACATCCTCACCCACTTACTTAAAGGTAGGCAGACAATGTAATAGAGCAGCAGGAAATTCTAGCAGAATGCTTGGTTGTATAGGGAGAGGTATTAGCAGTAGAAAGAGGGAAGTGCTCATGCCATTGTACAGAACACTGGTGAGACCTCATCTGGAGTATTGTACGCAGTACTGGAGACCGTATCTTCAAAAGGATATTGATACTTTGGAGAGAGTTCAGAGAAGGGCTACTAAACTGGTTCATAGTTTACACGATAAGATCCTTTAACCTTTCCTCGTAAGTTTTAACATGTATAGCTTGGAGGAAAGATGAGACGGGGGATATGATAGAAACATTTAAATACATTAAGGAAATCAACACAGTAAAGGAGGAGACTATATTTAAAAGAAGAATGTGTGGGATAGGCATAAGACTATAATAGCTATAAGATAAGGCCAGGGACTAATGAGAGTATTTAGAAAATTGGGCAGACTAGATGGGCCAAACGGTTGTTATCTGCCATCACATTCTATGTTACCTTGTTTCTAGCTTCAATAGCTCCAATATAAATCTGTCTATCTGTAATCCATCAAAAAGTGAAACACCTCTTAGATTTATTTTTATTAGTTGGAAACAATGAGAGCAATGCTATCTGAAGAAGTGCTCTCTTCTACCTGCTGGCCTGTCCTACAGCTTGCTTTCTTACCGTAATATCTGTGTACAGAGATTTTCCATAAAGTCTCTTATACTCCTTGCGGATCTCCAGCAGGTCCACCTCGCTACGGGACACCAGGATTCGGATCAGAGTTTTGTCCTTCGTTCCAGCGCCCTTTAGAAGTAATGATTGAACAAAATATAATTTTCCTACAGTCCATCCAAGCTAAACATGTTAATAAAAAATCCACATTATTAACAAAAACAAAAGCAAAAACACCTATAAATTCAACCGAAATCCACCAACACTACTATTGGTGGATTGGCCTTTTTTATTATTAATACAGAGATGTATGTATTACTATATTTTTACATTTCACTATATTTTTGTTGTTTATGTAATCATTTACAGAAATTATTAGTATTATTAATTATTAGTATTGATTACTTTTCCGTTGCTAATAATTTAATACAGTCTTTTAAATCTCTGGTTACACAGTTGATCATTGGCAGAGTGAGCCACTGATTGTACAATTTCAAATATTGCTACATGCTGAATCACACATAAAAAGTACACTATTACTATCAAAGAACAATTAGAAAACATACAAGCATTTCCCAAATGAATTACCCATATCTGACTTACCCTCATTGCTTTGTTAAGTCGTTCTGCAAAGAAGGCTGGGGTGTTTTTAAGGCATTTTACTGGAAAACACAATATAATAACAGGGATTAGGGTTGTATAAACTCCTTCCCATGTAGAATATAACTCTTGAAATGAAAAATCTAGACTACAGTTAAAATAATGCTAACAAATTACACTTACGTTGGTTGGAACATCTATTTCTAACTATTTCTAACATGCTATGTGCCTCAACCAATCATCAAAGGGAACTCCGTGCCAAAAACAAACCAAAACACAACAATTGTAACCTCCCAATCATAGATCATACACTGCAAAACACTATTATATTTTAACGGAAACTGTTTTGTTCCATCTTGGTAAATTAATCTGCCACTGCAATATACTCACATAAAGAAATAGAGGTCAATTTACGAAGCAGGGTTAAACACCATACATTCATAAAATGATGTTAAAGAAGCCATTGTTTACTAGCAAAGTTCACAGTCTGGCTTCTAGTAACTCACCACTTCTAGAGTATGTAAACCTCTACCACCCTTTCAGCAATATAGAAATAGAAAAGGAGAAAGGGTGGCGCTAATAGAAAAATGTGCTACTAATATAGCATGCAGCAAAAACACCTTAGTGTATAGTCACTACATACACTTACATATACAAATGAAAAAACAGGAGTAGGTGATTGCGCAGGTAGTTTATAAGTCCACAAATTTGTGGTACGTCCTTAGGTTCTGTAAAAATAGAACACCAACATAGGGTAGTATGTCAAACATATAATATTCAATTGAGAAGCTTGGAAAAACTCACAATTTGATGAGAGGTAGAAAATAAATGTATTATAATAAAACACAATAAAAAGACCCTCTCTGTTGGGTCGAAACGCGTTGTGCTTTTTATTGTGTTTTATTATAATAAATTCATTTTCTACCTGTACCCGGTTACCTGGTTCCTGATTTACCTGCTTGAGGACTGCAAACACCTCCTGGGGGACCTATACATTGGATCTATGTACATCTGAATGATTCACTCCAGCTATATAGTTTAGAGCAAACTTATAAATGCTCATCAAATTGTGAGTTTTTCCAAGCTTCTCAATTGAATATTATATGTTTGACATACTACCCTATGTTGGTGTTCTATTTTTACAGAACCTAGGGACGTACCACAAATTTGTGGACTTATAAGCTACCTGCGCAATCACCTACTCCTGTTTTTTCACCCTTTCAGCAATACCAGAACATTTACATTCTTGTGTAATTTTGTGAATCATTAAAATAAGCAGGGCACATGAGAATTTCCTTTTTACTGTTATCTTGGGAAATTGGATTCTCAAAAACACAATATGAAATACAAAAGTCTATGATTTCTTTTAATCACATTTTTGTTTCACACATACTGTATATTAAATCTGCATCAAACCTACTGCTTGCTACAAAAAAATAAAAATAAAAGAACAAGTTGGTTCTTCTATGTATTTTTTTCTAAACCTGGTAGAACGATTGCAAGGCCAAGGCTGCAACTGATCTCACAACAGATGAATGAAACATATAAATGAGGTTGAAAAAGATATGCTTGAACATCAAACTACATACACAGTTGTGGTTTTGCCCTAATTCCATGTGCTAGCTAGGCAGTAAATTATATGCCTTTTTCAGTGGAAAAAATAAATCTAAAATTCTATTAAAATTGTCCATTTGAGCTTAAATCTAAAAAAAATAAAAAATTGCCAGATTATATTTTTAAACTCACAGATAAAATCACCAAAGCTACAATAGGTCATTGACAGAATCACAAAAGAATATGAAACATTATAGAACATTGTCATAGAAAAATTAATACTTTAAAACCATTTTTTGGGGTGAATTTATGGTTTTTATGACACACAAGTGGCAAAGAAGAAAAGCCACCACATAAACACATGCATTGCAGCACGTCAAACATGCATGGAAAGAATAAACACAAAACACATAAATCTCCCTTCGTAGAACACTATGAGATGAAATCTCGGTGGAGTGTGTGATCTTAGATTTACCAGTTATCTTCTGACTGCTTATGAGAGACCGTGCCAAGAAAAAAAATCATCATCATTAGTAGCTTAAAAATATTGTTCGATTCAAGATATAAATGAAACTTTCTTTTAAAAATAACACGCAAACCAGAGGTATTTTATCAATACACTGTATTTCTACTTTATCAGTATACTATTTCAGATCATATTGGAAAAAATAAGTTAAGGAAGAAAGGGAATTCAAGACAGAACTGTAAAAAAAAAGTCTGAGAGGGATATCGTTTTATAAGCTCCAACAAGTTGGTATTACCAAGACAACAGTTTGGCTCGACTGTCACTACCGGGTAAAATATTACTTAAAAAAAAAAAAAAAAAAAAGAGCATAAAACCATACATGAAAGATTTAAGATCACTTACCCACTGCCAGCATGCCGCTCTCCAAATTCCCAGACATCTCACGACAGATGCTTTTCTCAATGTCACGATTGCACATCCGCTGATATTCAGTGAACACTGGTAATACAATTAGGAACCATAGAAAGTTGCAGTATTAACCAACATAGATCTTGGTATTTATGTAATTTTTTAATTTGTTCTCTAGTCAACAAAACGCATCACCAAATTGGCAAAACATTTGGCAATGAAATATTAAATTCAAATTTCAGGCTTGAGTCCTATTTTGTATTGCATATGGAGATCATGTATTCAAATAAATTGTAACAAACAAAAATTATGTAACATAAACATGACCAGTGGTAAATACAAATGCATACATAAACATAAGTGTGTACACAGATGCACTGACCTCCTGTTAAATATTAAATAGAGACATCAAATTTTTATTTGCAAGTGTATCGAACAAGGAAACTATGTTTCCCGTCATGCACTTAACAGATACATGACAAGCGGTCAATATTCTGCTTAAATCTCTGTTTTGGAATGGTTAGATCAGAGGAGGTTTGGAGACGTATCTAAAAAGATAACAGCATAATAAGCTTAGACAGGTTCCCCTAATGCATTTTAAAAACAATACTGCGAAAATGTTCTAAAACAATGGTAATACGTTTTTTTCCCATTCTCTACTGCCATCTTCTCCAGAAGAAAAAAAAGAATATGAGGAACTGGAGGAAACTCCAGAAAAAAAAAAAAATACAAATTCAAAGTAACAGTACTCACTATGCAGCATCAAGCAAATAGTTGTCGAGTGCACTAAACAGCGTGCTATTACCACTTTATTTGAAGGACAAACATCAAATGTTTCGGGGTAATCCCTTTTTCAATGCATCAAGTCCCTCCAGAAGACAGAGCTGCTTTAAGCAATTCTCCTACTGTCAGCTTCCGGGAAAAAAATATATATAAAAAAAGAGGGGCTAGGGTGGTCCTATTTCAGGAGAATTGCAAAAATTTGTAGAACATATTGAAGGTGTGGCAAACCTAGCCACTTACAGAATGTCCTTGTATATATCTTGCTATTACTGCATTGCTATTCCTATCTGTGGCCAAACCAGCCACTTAAAGTGTAACCCCCCCCTGAATGTAATATGATGTAAAGTGTATTCCTGTGTACTGCTTGTATCTCCTAAGGCAGGAGATGGCTATCTGTAACCCAACCCCCTCCTGCCTGGGACTAAAGGAAGTGTATGGTGTGGAATGCAGACCCCCCTGCGAAGGTCTGTGTTTAAAGGAAACTGTAATCATTAAAGAGTGTGTCTCAGCCTGGTGAGATGCAAGTGTTTTAACCTCCAAGCTATGTGTCGTCTAGTTCTTAGGAGAAAAGGATTGTAACTACGCTACCTGCATTTTACCTGCTTCATCCTGTCTACCAGCGAAGATACAGTGGATAATACCACTACTCCACTACAGAAGGCAGCAACTGATTTAACTATTTTGTTCACATAGACCATTCCCAATAAACATACTGATATTTAGCAAAATGTATCACACATAGTTCTGGGCTTGCTGCCAATTGTGCAAAAGATTATACTCATAAATATTTTAAGGAATTACAAGGATGTAAGCATTTGGCAGCAATTGAAGAGAAAACTAGAGAAATTCATTATGATTTGCGTGATATTATTGAGCTTGTTCGAGATCGCACAGTTAAAGGGACACTAGTCATCAGAACAACCACCTTAATGTATTTGTTCTGGTGAGTATAGTCAGTTCCTGCATGCCTTTTGCAGTGAACACCGTTTTTGTCAGAGAAAAGGCAGTGTTACATTACAGCCTAGGAATACCTCCACTGGCCACTCCTCCTATGGCTGCAAGAGGTGCTTCCTTGGGTCAGTGCCACAGAGTATGCAGCACTGACATTTAGTGTTTCCACCCTCTGCATGGAGACACTAAACTTTCTTCATAAAGATGCATTGAGTCAATGCATCTTTATGGGGAGATGCTGATTGGCCATGGTGGTGTTTGGCTCTGCCCCACCTCTTTGGCAACCTAAGCCAATCTAATGCTTTCCGATGGAAAAGCATTGTGATTGGATCATATGATCACTTCTGATGTCAGCCAAGGAGGCAGATCAGGGGCAGAGCCAGCACCAGCAGGCTGGAATAATGGTAAGATTTTACTATATTTAGGATGACAAGGGGAGGCTAGATAGTGATGTTAATACTATAGGGTCAGGAATACATGTTTGTGTTCCTGACCCTATGGTGTTCCTTTAAATAAAAATATGTTATAAGTTGGAATATTGAATATTTTTCCAATTCTCTCTCTATAAATATACAATTAAATAAGGCATTTGTTGAGCAGTGCCTACTCCTATAAAAATATATATGCCTATATAAATATAGATATAGGAGTAGGCATTATTCAAGGAATAAAAAGAAAGGGAAGGACAAGGGTGCGCCTTAAAACATGTAAAATAAATACTTCCACGTTTCCAGGAAGCGATCCTAATAGTACAATGGATATAATATAAGGATTAATAATATTACTTTTGAGATAAAATAATGCCATAAAAATTTAATATATGGCATTATTATTTTTTCATAAGTAATATTTTTAATCCTTATATTTCTAATATTATTATTAGTAATATGCTTCTCGTTGAATTTATTTTCATTTGTCATATGGATGTTCCTTTTTATACTCACCTGTATTGTTTATTACCACCATATACACTTATGTATTACTTGTGACTTATGTGAATGTAACTATTTAAATTCATTAATATCTATGTAACCAGATCTCTGTGTTTACCCAATAATAATGGTCTGCTCTGTCCGTATTAGGCAGCCCATTTGGGGTTTGGATCCCACATCAAACAGGAGGCCGTGTAACAGTGTGCTGTCCATGCTGTGATCTACACTAGACATCACACCGTTATTCTGCCCGCACAAGGTTGTGTTGCCCAGGATACTTGACTCCTCCCACGGGGTGATGCACTTGGCTAGCTGTTCCTGTAATGCCGCACATGCGTTCCACGAACTGATGACGCATGCGGCCCACAGACACCACGTGACGCACTTGTTTACTTCCCCATCACGTGATGTCGGAAGTTTAGCGTTTTAATTTTTACACATTTAGAAGTTTTGTTTTAAAATAAAAAGATGTGTACAACCTCCCACACCTAGTTACACGTTCTCTTATTGAGTTTTTTTAAATTTTAGTGTTTTACACCCCCACCTATGACGCTGATGATGTAATTTAGGCGGGAATTGCAAATTAGCACTGTAATTATGTGTTCCTTATAAAAGCAGTATATGTCAGATCTGTTTTTTTTCCTATAAGTTTCTACTTGATGAATCCGTTGTGGTGAAACGCGTCTAGAAACTTTTTATATTTATATTTATTTTTTAAGTGTTAATAAAGGAATTTTGGCTATTTTCTAAACTGTTGCCACTTTCCTTTTTTTTTACTATAGTATTTTATTACCTTAATTTTGGTATTCTTTATGTTCCTGATCTGAAATCATCGTTCTTTTGCCAAAAGGAAGTATCAAAGAATCCCTAGGTGGGATTGTACCACCCACATGTTACTAACTGAGCAGTGTGTCTGCTCATTATACTGTGAGTATATTTTATCTATTTTTTTTCATCCTAAATTATACAGGGAACACTATATATTTTATTTTATTTTATCCTGAGCCGGACCACCCTATTGAACGAACTCATTGAAGAATCCTAGAAGAGCAAATATCCTTAAGTGGGGATTGTTCCATTTTGTGTCATTCAAACCAGAGCTGGATTTAAGCTCTGGATATTGTGAGTAAAAGGCGCATCCTTGTCCTTCCCTCTCCTTCTATTTGTATCTTTAGGGGATTAGAGGGGACCCCCTTTCCATTGGTGTGCTGCCTTGCTGTTATACTTATTGCCTTCTCTGTTGGCTTATCAGCGCTGATCCTTTCTTTCTATTTCTATTATTCAAGGAATGCCTTATTTAATAGTAGTGCTGTCAAAATGATTTGAACATATGGCATTGGCAGCTTAATGCATCCCCTGGGAAGTGTGTGTGAGTTGAGTTTTTAAATAAGATCTTAAACAAACACATTTTTGTGATGTTACAGATTCTCATTACCTGCATTAAGATGAGTCCTACTGCGAGAACACAAGATGGCATTAAATTTGGACTCGTCTGTCCCCAGGCGATTCTCTCCAGCTGCATACAGTTCCTGTATAGTACAAAAGTATTCCCACCTTTTATCAATTGTCTCCTACTTTATTTCAGACATTTCATATTCATTCTAGATTGTTAATTATTTCCTATTATTCCAGCTGACTCCTATTGTTCTAGTTCTCATTTAACTATTTTTCTTTTATATTTCAACACTATAGCACTCCAAGTACAACACTATTTTCCCATTTTATTCATGAGCCCTCCTTTCAGTTATCCTGTTGCATATTATACTGGATCTCTTTCTACCCCATTTACTCCAGCTTAACATAGAAATATAGAATGTGATGGCAGATAAGAACCATTTGGCCCATCTAGTCTGCCCAAATGTTCTAAATACACTCATTAGTCTCTGGTCTTATCTTAAAGTGGCACTGTCATGCCGAGCTTACCTTTCCCCAATCGCTTCCTCTTCTCTCCCTCTCTCAGGATCTGTTCTTAATTTCTTCTGATCTGATCTAGTTTTCTTTAAAACATAAGACAAAGTAGGGACTATTTTGTCTTATGTATTTTTCCTACGCTTGACCAGCTATGGCCCAGGGGAGGAGCAAAGTTTCCTGTGGTCAAAGACATTTTCCCACCATTCTCACCTTCCTCGGCTGCTTCGTTCAGCGTTCGAACGCCGGCGAAACTACTGAATCTCATCCTAACAGAATGAGAACAGTTTCTGCATTCGTGTTAGGGCAAAATTCGGGAGTCTTTGTTCAGATCGGAATTTCATCCTATTCGTGCTGTGAGTAGATAGCTCCCTAATTCCCACGGTATTAGGGAGCTATCTACTAAAAGGCGGAAAGACCTAAACTAGTCTTTCAGCCAAATTTACGAATATCAAGTAAAGCTTACTTGGTATTAGTAATTTAGGGAGATTACAATTTCTCTTCTGCCCCTACTCGCTATTCCGTAGGGGCATGTCTACTAAGCAGTGAGCAGCCAGCCAACATTCTATTAAAGGGCCCCTTTAAAAATAATCCCCCCTTAGATACAATGGGGGGAAGGGGGCCGGCTGCCTCCCCCTGCCACAACCCATGAGCGGCGGGTGGGGGCCCTAGTAAAAATAGGGGGAGAGAACCTATTGTCTGTCCCCCCCCAGCCCACACCAATGAGCGGCGGGTGGGGGACCTTGTGAAAATAAGAGGAGGGGAGGACCTATTGTCCCCCCCCCTGGCTCCCACCCATGAGTGACGGGTGGGGGCCCTAGTAAAATAAGGGAAGAGGACCTATTGTCTGCCCTCCCCCACCCCCACCCCCACCCCCCGGCCCACACAAATAAGCAGCAGGTGGGGGCCCTTGTGAAAATATAAGGAGGGAGGAAGAACCAATTGCCCTCCCCCACCTCCCCAGCCCCACCCATGACTGGCAGGTTCATCAGTCAGAATTGTGGAAAAATTGCTTTGACCACAGGAAATGGAGCGGACTTTGCTCCTCCCCTGGGATAATAATAACAACAAAGTATTTAACTAGGAAAGGTGCATTCAGATTACTCTGGTTTTCAAGTACGTCCTGGAGATGTTACCTTAGCCCAACATCCAGGGGTTGTTACTATTACCATTAAGTTAATGGTACTCATTTTATCTACCTGGGAAGGATAAAGGGCTGAGTCAACCCTGCCGGTATTTAAACCTGCAACCCAAGGGTTGAACAGATTCTACTGATGATGCGTTAGCCTACTGAGATATCTCATCAGCACAACTGGGCAAGAGTAGGAAAAATACATAAGACAAAAGAGTCCCTACTTTGTCTTATGTTTTAAAGAAAACTAGATCAGATGGGAAGAAATGAACAAATCCTGAGATAGGGAGAGAAGAGGAGGCGATTGGGGAAAGGTAAGTTCAGCATGACAGTGCCGCTTTAAGTCTAGGATAGCATTGTGCCTATCCCATGCATGCTTAAACTCCCTCACTGTGTTAACCTCTATCACATCAAATGTAAGGCTATCCCATGCATCCACTACCCTCTCAGTAAAGTACTACTTCCTGATATTTTTAAACCTTTGCCCTTTACTCATCATTGCATTTCTCTCATTTTTATTTTACTTCTCTCTCCCCCGTCTATTATTCTAGTTCTCTTGGGAAGAGTGGCACTTCTGCCTGCTCTCCCCCCTCCTTTGGCCTTTATTCCAGCTCTTTCTTAATTATCATTTATTTCAGTTGTTTATTCCCTCTGTTTTTTTTTCTTTTTTAAAGCACCGGTACCCAAGATGTCTTTTTTTCAGAAATGGGGAAACTGATAGCCCTCTATGTGGATAGCTTTTAGCTTTTTAATGTGTTTTTTTTTGTTTGTGACTGTTCTTTTTCAACTGCAGCATCATGTCACTGTCACCTTAACATTATCCAATTATCCTTCTCACCTGTACATCACGCTGAACAAGAGTCATATCCACATTGGTACTTTCATCTCTGTTCCCCTTTAAGAATAATAGACATGAATTACAATATAGAAGAAAAAATACAAAACAAAACATATGGCCTCATTCATATTTAAAGAAGCCTATGGGGTATTAACACAATTTCGGTTTCTTCTGTGGTGAAACAGAAATGAATAATATTGTATTCAACACTTTTTTTTCCCACATTAATTGATTTAAACTTACAAACTATCCAAACAATTGTAATTTTTATTTTTTTAAAGAATCATAGAGTACGGCTGCCCACTTCAATTTAGTAAAGCGCAGTGGCAGTCAAGGGACATAGCAGTCTAGGGACATGGAGCAAAGCATGGGTGATATGCAAGTAAGAGGCTGACGGAACAGATGGATAAATGGATGACATGGCAGAGGTCCTGAAACTCCTGGAAAAAAAGCACGACAAACTTGATGGCTATTGGTGATGGTAGAAGCAAAGGTTACAAACACATTGAATATGGCAATGCAAAATGATAGATGTAACCTTATTCTCTGTATAACAACAGTTATGCAATATTAAGATTTGCATAAAAGATTATATTTAATTTGATCCAGATGTGTTTAGCTGTAGAAAATGGCTAATTATGAACTTTTTCCAGAAACATCTGTGCCCAGTTAGCTGTGCAGAGATCTGTCACTATATCATTCAGGAGGAATTTGAATTGTATAAAACAGCATTTCCTGAATGCCTCTCATCCCGGTTTTTAACCTTGAGATTGAAGTTATGAAAGTTGATGTCCAATGTTAAATTTAAACAGATACATTTTGCTACAGGATTTTTAATGTGGCTACTTCTGACATCACAGACTCTCTCCATGAACAGACATGAGGGAAATGGGGATATGTTGTGTTTTGGGGTACATATGGGACTTTATTAAAAAAAAAAGTGTGTTTTTCTGCCTGGAGATAGAGTTACATACAGTACTTCATTCAATTATCTCACAGGCAGAGGGGAGGGATTGTATGTGTGTTATGGGAGTGTTGTACAGATAATTACTGTTCTGATTGGTTTATTCCCTTTGTGTCCCTGTGCACAATAAGATCCACCTGGGTGTCACCCTTGTTGGGAAACTTGCATAAAAGGCCAGTGTGCCTCCATTAAAATTGAGTTCCTGCTTAACCCTCAACACGTAGCCTTGTCTCGTGATTGGAGGGAATGCTATACTCACACTGGGGATTGCTATACTCCTTATACTCCCCTGGGTTCTAATCACTAGCTCTTCTAAGAGCTGTTCCTGCTACGCTCTCTGGAGTAGGAGAGGTTTTTCCCACAGGGACCTGGATATCAGAGGTTGGTCCAGGGTGGGAGGAAGACGGCAAGATCCCATCTAGTGGCGAAGTGGCTTTCGCCACAATCAGTATGTGTGTGTATCTGTGTATGTACCCCATCCGGTGGCCTGCATGGTTATAATCCAATTGGTTCCAGTTTAAACCCTTAAAATTATGATAAGCCTACAATTTGGAGCACTGCTGATCAATCCTTTCTTTTTGTGCATTTGTAGCCTGTCTAAAGGGCCCATGTTTCTGTATCCTCAGCTAGTAGTTTGGGTGATGTTTACAGCTATTGTATGTGTATTGGTCATAGGAAAACCAAGTCTGAACATGAGTGCATAAATATACAACAAGCACAAACAAAGGCCCCCAATACAGTCCAGTCTTGACAGTTCCATGCCTAAGCAGGGGTGAGCAGGAAGACTTGAGATATGACACAAAAAGGAATTTACCTGAGATAGAGAAATTAGCAACCGCTGGAAGTGGCCAGAGGTGTCACTCTTGATTGCCTGTTCGAGGGTCTTCTTGAATTCTGCATGAGAGGCACAAGTTTATTTTTATTTATTGAAAAACCTAGCAATTCTTATAGCACAAGGTATACATTATTTCCAGTATGCAAAAACACTTTCTAGGATACAAGAAAAAAAATAATATATATATATATATATATATATAATACACAGCTAAACTTACATAATAAAGAGGGCAGAAATAAAAAATAAAAAAATATAGCCAGAGTGAACCACAGATAAGACAAAAAAAAACCCCCAGAAGATAAAAGTTGCTTCCTGTTACAATAACATGTCACAATTTTTACTTTCTATAGTATACAAGGCATACTGCTGGATACTATCCGTTTATTTTTGCACTTTTCTTATTTTTTCAAGCATTGTAATTACCATGCCTATATAAACCTTGAATGGTAACGGAAATAAATAACGTAAGTAAAATATGTTTCCCCTTAAGTGATTTAAAATCAAGTTGTGGTTACCATGACAGGTTTAAATCTGTCATTACAACACAGAAACAAGAGGTATTCCGGCATTTTATCTAATGTGGCCCAATCAGAGTTAGATGGCACTGCATTTTAGAAAATCTTAGAACGATACATGGTAAATAATATAAATTAGAGTTTTTGAAGACTGACCTGTTTTGTATATCCTGTTAATTTCTTGGATTTCTAAATTGGGCCGTGAAGCCAGGATCTCAATGAGACATTCCTCATCTGTGCCTGCACCCTGTTTCAAAACAGTATGCGTGTAAGTCACTTGTGTACCAGTTGTTGCATTTCAGACATGCACAAAGCATCTTCACAATCATTTTATACTAGCCTTAATGGCATCATGGATTTCTTGTGCATCATACAAAGATGGAGCTTTCATCATTGCAAGAATCGTCTTCTCAAAGTTTCCAGACAGCTCAGACTTCAGGTCTTTGATCAAGTCCTGTTAACAAAAGGAACGTGAAAAAAAAAGCAGAGAACAGGTATTGCAAACATACTTACTTTTAAGAATATGTGAAAATGTTGACTATACTTGGAACAGAACAGTGAATAGAAAATTAAGAAGGTAATGCAACTTTCTTCGAAGAGTCCCACCACTGAAAGTTGCTCCCTTCTGATTAATACAGACCGCCAATCTGTTATTTAAACCCTTAACTGCTGCACATGAAGGAATTATTAGGCAAGTCCCACGTGGGTAAAAGAGAACACACAGGATCTCCATTATAGATTTAATCCCTGACATGTCATACATTGAGCGAAGATTCCTCCCACTTAATTATTATTGATTTACAATTATTTCAAGCCAGCAAGATTTTCGGTACCATTTCACTTGCTAAAATCTCTGCTTCCATTGGAGACATACACACTTCCATCTATTAGCTTGCACACTAATTCTGTTTCTGTAATTGATTACCTAAAAGAAAAACTAATTAAGAAGGGAGAGACATAGATATGCCTTGCACAACAGTGCAAGATCTCAGCTTATGGGCAGGGCCCTCTCTACCTTTTATATTTATCTGTGTATGTATGCTCTCCCCTATAACTTGTTTGACATGCGTTTATCTGGATTTAGTTTTGTTGTTATTCTTTCTCTCACTGTTAAATTACACCTATCACTAAAATTATACTCTGATCATTTCTTTGTCAGTGGACAAATTTTCAAAATCAGCAGGGGATCAAATACTTTTTTACCTCACTGTTATTGTACAGCGCTACGGAATATATTGGCGCTTTATAAATACCAGTAATAAATAAATAAAACAATAATCTCTTTCAAAATATGTCTTCCTTGCCATCTCACATCCTGTCATCACTGACATCTTGCATAGCGTTAGCAAATTAAATTTTTAACCTGTAGTGTATTCATATATACACCTGTGTGCAGACTCACCTTTCCATAGGCCGTTTTGAAAGACAAGCTGATTTGCTGCCTCTGCTTGCTGGATCGGCTCCCCAGACATTCAATAATGGCTTGTTCATCCGTTCCTGTTGTAAATGGATTTATATTATCATTGTTTATAATATTTCCACTGACTTTGCCAGGGCTACTCAAGCCTGGCAAGAATATTAAACAAATGTTCAAGAACACAACATCCACTTAACTAAACAAAGATTTTCAAATCTTAAAGGACCACTATAGTGCCAGGAAAACATACTCGTTTTCCTGGCACTATAGTGCCCTGAGGGTGCCCCCCACCCCACAGGAGCTGCGCGCGCATTCAGCCAGTCTCATAGGAAAGCATTTACAATGCTTTCCTATGGACGCTGGCGTCTTCTCACTGTGATTTTCACAGTGAGAAGCACGCAAATGCCTCTAGCGGCTGTCAATGAGACAGCCACTAGAGGATTTAGAGGCTGGATTAACCCATTTATAAACATAGCAGTTTCTCTGAAACTGCTATGTTTATAAAAAAAAAAGGGGTTAATCCTAGAGGGACCTGGCACCCAGACCACTTCATTAAGCTGAAGTGGTCTGGGTGCCTAGAGTGGTCCTTTAAACTAAGAGAGACAAAACAAAAAAACTGCATCATATTTTGTTTAACTAAATGGGAAAAGTAAAAAGGCTTTTAAAATGACCTTATTTTAAGCTTACATACACGGTTACATAGCTGAAAAGAGACATACATCCATCAGGTTCGGCCTTTCTCACATCTGGTTTTACTGTTGATTCAAACGAAGGCTAAAACAAATCAAGTTTGAAGAGCTTTCCATTTTTGCAACAAACTAGAAAAAAATGTATTCTTAACCCCAGAATGATAGTCAGATCTGTCCCTGGATTAGGAAACTGTGACTCCACAAATTATACAACTGGTTGTTAAATACTTACTGCAAATATAGTTCAGGAAATTCCTCAGCATTGTAAATGAACATGACCCAAGTGAAAACAAATGGGTTGATAAACAGGTAAAGAAATGCTGGTCATATTATATAAAATCATGATGGTATGATGTTCTTACCAAACCCTTTCATTGCTTTTCTGAGTACTTCTGCATCCCTGAGAGGATCAAAATTTGGCGCATCTGTGATTGTGCCCCGCTTACCAATCTAAAAAAAGAGTACTTTGTATTAGAGAATCCTTGATAAGCACTCTGCAATGAAATGATGACAGCACAAGTTTAAATTCGGTATAAAATAACACTGCGTACCACAAATGAAGGAGCAGTTGGCATTCCTGGTGATGGCGCCCCAGGTGTTGGGTATGATGGCATAGAGGGATTCGTTACTGGACCTGAAGGGTAGTTTGGCACAGGTGCCTGTCCTGGATAGTTCATTGGTGGCTGTCCTGGCATTGGCATGGGTGGCTGGCCAGGTGCTGGCATGGGTGGCTGGCCAGGAGTAGGCATTGGTTGACCAGGTAGTGGTACTCCTGGATATCCAGGGTTATATCCTGGCATCCCTGATTGTTGGTCTCCAGGACTAGGGTACATTCCATAAGGACCTTGAGGCATTCCAGGCTGTTGTGGAGCTCCATACCCACCTGGAGCAGATGGATACCCTCCACTACCACCACCTGGAGCAGATGGATACCCTCCACTACCACCACCTGGAGCAGATGGATACCCTCCACTACCACCTCCTGGAGCAGATGGATATCCTCCACTAACACCTCCTGGAGCAGATGGGTACCCTCCACTACCACCTTGTGGGTACATACTTTGCTGTGGATTCATGCCTCCGAAACCAGCTGGTGGAAAATTTGGTCCAAGCTGTAATACAGAGAATTATGGTTACTCAAGTTTCCAAAAATTACCTTAACTCTCAATAAATAGCCAAACATCTGCTAAGAGTCTCTTGCAGGAGTTGAAAAAGTTAGCAATAATAAAAAGGGTTCCTGTTTTATAGATGGAATGAGCATGGAGTCAATCTGTGATGATATTCCCCGTATTTTTCTGTCTACAATGACACAAATAACTCAAAAGTAAAAGAAATATTAAAATTGGCCTCAGCATAGGCTTTTTGTTTGTGTGTTAAGAACGCTGTCTTTCTCATTGGAAACAAACAAATAGCGGATCTTTTTCAAGAAAGAAACACTGCCTTCATTCATCATGGCACCTACGTGGTCTTTACTAGTTTTGTAGCAGTGCATTGCCAATTTAGTAGGATTACATGTAAGCTGCACTCCTCAAACATTTTGATAGTTTTTAAATGTGTTTAACATAATTTGTTATGGTTAAATAATAGGACAGGCAGGACTTGTGTGTGGATTCCCTATTGCCTGTAAGGATAAATTAGAGAAAGAGAATAGAGAATAATCACCCTCACCAACAGAAAATAATTTTACATGTGGAAAATATTCCAATTAGAACAAAACGCCTTGTGTATGCCTTCTTAAAAGGTAAATCATGATATAGTGAAATCATAAATTAGAATTATTATTTTTTTTTTTAAACTCCATATATAATACGGGTTAATGTGTTTTACGTGTGTGTGTGTATGTATGTATATATGTTAACATGTAATAGCGGTTGCAGGAGTCAACGTGTACTGTATTAAGGTTGTGTAGTCGTTAAGTGTAGAATTTTACCGGAAATGTAGTGCTGGGACGATTTCAGTTGCCATCATTAAAATTCCCACTAATTTTGGCCGGATGAGCATGCAGAGATTTTGTGAGATTTAGACTGCACTGATGGTGATCCATGAAATTATTCTCCATAATGAACAGGTTAATAAGAGATCATCTCCTTACAGTTTGACTTGAAGGCATTAATCTCAGGCACAATTAAAGTGTACATAAGTTCTAGTTTGCCCAGGTCGTTGCGGTCGCCCAGGAGTTGTGGGAGCCTGGGCACAGGACTTATTTCTGTGTATTTGCCCAATTGTAGGGACTGACACTTTTGATGTGGCTATTTTAATGATGATGGCAGCTGAAATAGTTGCCAGCAAGGACTCTAATGCCCACTACTCTCAGACAGCTTTGGGACATTTGTGCCTCAGTGCTGCCCTTGCAGTAGAGTCCTCTATTTTAACACAATATGTTCAGAAGTGAAGGATAAAAGCACAGCTTGGATATGTTACATGATTGAAATCATAGCACGTGGTCCCATGTCATCATCTGAATCGCAGTAGTTAACGTTTTGGACTATACCTACCCCATACTGCTGTGTGTTGCATTGCTGAGTAAATCCTCCCATATCCAACCCTATCGGAGGAGGATTACCGGGCACTCCCCACGGGTTATTACCTGTAGCAAACAGAGAATTACAGTAAAGTCAAGTCATTACAGGCATCAGCAGCTCAAGAAAATTAGAGGGTGGAGTACTATAAAGAGTGTAAATGTTTCTCTCAATCCTGATATGTTATCAGAGTAGATTATATGAAAATGTCCTAGAAGACTATCTGCACTATTTTATCTAAAAGCACACAGTCTCCATTAATGTGAGATGTTTTCTATAGAACTACAGACCTTTAAAGCTCCCAGAACAAACAGTTTATCATTTGTTGACAGTAATCGCTCTATAAACTTACTTACCTGTGGGTACAGGGGGGAAACCACCCATAGGAGGATAGCCAGGGTAGCTCATTGTTTTTCTTTTTTAAGATCAATTAGTGCCGGTTCTGGGATTAAAAAGACAGATGTTCAAGCTCAGTTAAAAGTATATTGGGACTATTACAACACATTTACAGTGGAATTTGAAATGTGAGTATTACAGATGTTATTCTCATACTTTACAACTTTTATATATAGTCATATACAGGTATACTATTACCAAATTTTAGTCAATGTAACAGGAGTTGTGGCCAATGAGTGAGACTATGCCAAGACTTTTTTTTGTGACTTTTGGTCTTGAATGACTTATTATTCACAAAAGAAAAAGACAATGGAATTTATTTATACAAACAAATTTATAAAAACACATACGTCAAACACAAACTATGTTTTATTTCTATAAATTGCTGCTATTAATACATAAAATTTTGAACCCCGAGAAAACAGAGAAGGACTCAAAGAATGCCCTGGCATTCAACAAAAAGAAGGTGCATCAAGCCATCACTGTAATTCTAGTAAAGGAATTATGCACATTCAAAGTAAAAAAAAAAAAACACAAAACCAGTGATTTACTTTAAAGAATGCAGGCATTTATTATTACCAACAAAATTGTGGAAGAAGAAAAATAAGGATCTGCATACTCTCAGGGGAAGTGACATGATCTGCACTGTTACCACACACACACTTAGGTACTACAACCACCACAGTGATAAAAGGAAAAATCAAAACACTAAAGCAGAAGGTGTGTTCAGCATCTACCTGCAGAGTGGAAGTACTAACTCTGATATCGGTTAGTCCGAGGATGGGGTTTATAGACTGCCCACAAAGGGTAGTGCTCTTCTAAACATTTTGTTTTTTGTTATGCCTTTATTCCACTCTGATGGTTGTAGTCCCACAGAGTGTGATAACAGTGCAGATCAGGGCTCCCCCCTGAGGTATGCACATCCTTAAAATAGTTTTTTATTTCACAATTTTGTTGGTTATAAGAAATACCTGGCTGCATTCTTAAACATAAATTGCTGGCTTTGAGACTCTTTGTCGAGTGTCCATAGTTCCATTATTAATTATATTTGCAACAATAAAAGGGCCACTATAGCCGAATGCAAGTTTAGTAAAAAAAAACAAAGTTTACTCATGAAGAGGGAGGTGGGAACTGATATTTCTCAAGTTCAAATAGCAGCTTTTTAAAAATCTTTATACAAATATATCTTTAATATGACTCAAATTAAAAAGCAGGGAACATTTGTACATTGTGCCCAGGCCAAAGAGCACATGTTGCAAGAAAAAAAACAAACGTGCACACCATTCTCCCTCTATATAGAGATGTATTCATTTTCTGTCAAAGATCACTGTGTATCTGTTTTAGATAACACAATGGTAACAACTTTTGCTAAAGAAAAACTGTTGTAGTATAGGCATACAACACTACAGTATAGCATTAGGAATACAAATCTGTATTCTAAAGTGCTCCCGTCCTAAGTTGTTTACATCCCACCCCAGTTATTTCTCCAATAAAATGAATAAAAGAAAGGGATTACTAGTTTTTTTTATATCATTGAAGAGGAAGGGCATCCTCCAACGACAGTCCAATCCAATGCTCCTCTTAGATGAGTTTAGGAAACCTGCTACACATGCGCGACCATGACCACATCCAATGTTTGCATAGGAAAGCATTGAATCCAATGGTTTCCTATGAGATGTCGCGTCATGGGACCGAGTTTGACTGTCCCGTTTGACAGTGCAGCATAAGTGCCTTTATTGGCGGCATGGTAAACACTGCCCTTTTTGCAAAATTTCAATGTTTTACCTTGAAGCGTTAAACATACAGGACCACTGCACCAAGACCACTTCACTGAGATGAAGTGGCCTGGGTGACATTAGAAGTATTTTAAAATTTAGATCTATAGACACTTGATCTTCCATTTTCTTTACATCTTCCCTGCCAACCGTGCCAAGTGGAAGCCGTTATATTTGTTTGTCATCTGCCTTAACGGACACTTACAACATGTTGGTACACAGAGGCAGCTCTATATGTTGGCCAGTTAGGTGGCCACCTAAGGCCTCACACTTCCTGGGGCTCCGCATCATGCCCCTTCGAAAGCCTTGCTGGCACCATGAGCGTATGAACCATTGCACCTTATTTTAGCTTTACCTATGGTCTCGAAATCTCTAAAGTATATATACACACACACACACACACACACACACACACACACGTTATATAGTCTTAAAAATGGCTAAAAAGTAATACTCTTCAAGGTAAAAAAAACCTCACTAGTTTAAAGTCAGACATACCTGGAGGTGCCCTGTATTGTGCAGTGCAGGTAATATGCCGTGACACAGCAAGTTACAGCCATAAATATGCTTCCTGGTTTTATTTTCATTAAGTGATTAAACACACAGTGCGGGGACTGCTCCCATAGCAAAGCTGTTAGGCAGGAAGCATAGTTATGGCCGCAGCTTCCATATACTTGGGGAGCAATTCACTTACACATGAGCTTTGTAATTGTACAGGTAGGTGGAATGCCTAGTCTATTCAAAAGTAAACTGTAATAACTGCTGCTGCCGGTACATTTGTACTGTTAATAAATAACCGTGTTGCTAGACAACTCTTTATTATCTAACCACCATCTGTCTCTCCAGCGAGCAAGCCTCCTCCCCCACAAAAATAAAAAGGATATTGCACACTCTATATCTAATCTCAAATACAGTGCCTCACTTGTTATATTCCCTCCCCTATCTCCCAAGTACTTTAATCACAGGCATCTCAAATACTGCCCCCAACCTCCACTCCCCCAAAATCCCCCAAAATCTTTGGCCATTCTATTGCATTCAAAGTATTCTGTGATTTGTAGGCTATTAACATCTTGGGAGGGGGGATATACTTTTAGATCCATTTTCTGTCTCATTTACCTGCCTTTAACCCCTTAAGGACACATGACATGTCATAATTCCCTTTTATTCCAGAAGTTTGGTCCTTAAGGGGTTAAAAGGACACTGCGAGCACCCAGGCCACTTCCTCTCAATGAAATGGTCTGGGTGCTATGTCCCTGTAGTTTTAACCCCGCAGGAATGGCAATGGTTTCATTTAATTTCAGTTAAATTCGGCTATTTTAAATCAGATATTCTCATACAGACCTTTTGCAGTTCATTTACTCTAGCCTCCCAGCATTGGATAGGCTGAGAACATCTACAATGATGATCTCAACCAAACAGGCGGAGCACCATTGTGGAGGCCGGCGTGGCAAGGTAAGTAAAAATTAATCTTCAAATACTCCCAAGGTAGGGGGACACCACAATACGTAACATAACACTATAGTGTTAGGAACACACGTTTCTATTCCTAATGCTAACATGTTGCTTTAAGTTAGCCTCCATGTATGTTCACTGCCTTCCTCATTAATATTTGTTCCTTTTTATACCTCACTTCTGGTTTATTATGTGTATTATCATCAGGGGTTATTTTTCGCTTGCCACTAGCCTTGTTGTCAGAAGAGATTAATCCACACAACCCCGGTGTCCAGTTGGTGGTTTTAACTATATTTTTTTGTGATTAACCTCTTAAATACACATGCCTATAGGATTGTTCATATTGGTACTTATCCTTGGTCACACAATCTTTGGCTGATGTCCTAAGTGTTCAGATTTTTATCTATTTGCAATAAATGTTAACTGCTTATGTGCAGGGCACAGTTTGCATCTAACTGGGCACAGCACAAACGGCAAAGTTCATTAGAAGCTGCCACTACAAAATGTTTGCAAAGCATAACATATATTACATGGATTCTGACAGTAGATATTTCATTAAAGGGACACTATAGTCATCAGAACAACTACAGCTTATTGCGTTTGTTCTGGTGAGTAGAATCATTCCCTTCAGGCTTTTTGCTGTAAACACTGTCTTTTCAGAGAAAAAGTGTCATGGCACAAGGGGCTATGATTGAAACCGCCGCGCCGATACTTCAAATAAAAGTTCCTGATCGTTGTCAAAAAGGGAAAAAATAACTTACCTGGATCGCGGCGGAGTGCCGCCCAATCCTCAATGAAGATGGGTCCCGGCTGGTGCGGCGTTCAAAGGGACGCCAGCCGCTGTAGTCCCGTTCTCAGTGTTAAAGGGCTCACTGCCCACATTAAAGATGGCGCCGGCCTGCGGGTGAAGTCATGATATCGACGCACAAGAGCTGCGTGCGCATTCAGCCGGTCTCAGAGGAAAGCATTTGCAATGCTTTCCTATGGACGCTGGCGTGCTCTCACTGTGAAAATCACAGTGAGAAGCACGCAAGCGCCTCTAGTGGCTGTCAATGAGACAGCCACTAGAGGAAATAGGGGAAGGCTTAACCCATTTCTAAACATAGCAGTTTCTCTGAAACTGCTATGTTTATAAAAAAATGGGTTAACCCTAGAAGGACCTGGCACCCAGACCACTTCATTAAGCTGAAGTGGTCTGGGTGCCTAGAGTGGTCCTTTAAGTCCGGCCATTCAAAGGTCCGGTATACGTTGTTTGTGTTAATATAGTTTTGCGTGTTGGATCACATAGTAATCGTGACAAAAAGCTGTGTTTACATTACATCCTAGTTATAACTCCACTGGCCATTTCTCAGATGGCTGCTAGAGGTACTTCCTAGGGCAGTGTTGCACACTGTGCAGTACTGCCATTCAGTGTCTCCACCCTCTGCATGAAGACACTAAACTTTCCTCAGAGAGATTAATTGATTCAATGCATCTTTATGAGGAGATGCTGATTGGCCAGAGCTGTGTTTGACTTGTGCTGGGTCTGCCCCTGATTTGCCTCCTTGACAGTCTCAGACAATCCTATGTGAAAGCACTGTGATTGGCTCACAGAATCACTTCTAATGATGTCAGCCCACAGGCAGATCAGGGGCAGAGGCAGCAGCTGCATACTTGAATACAAGTAAGATCTTACTATAATTATGAAGGCAAGTGGGCCTAAAGGGAAGGGGGTGGGATAGATGGTGCTTTTAACGCTTCAGGGTCAGGAATATATGTAGGTGTTCCTACCCTATAGTGTTCTTTTAACCATTTTTAAAAATGGACACTCCATGCGATAACACAACTTTTATGCATATAGCTATTTCTCTAAACAATTAGCTATATTTTCCACATGCCCAATTTTGTATGGTTTAGCAATAAATAAATAATTTAGCAGCATTCTGCATCTTAACTTTGCCTTAGCTCTAACAAGAATAAATTTGCCCATGGTAATTAAGTGAATTATATCATGGAGAGCACTTTTTAATGACTTCTAAATCCAGATGTTTGAAAACTATAGAATCAAAATATGAGCAGAATCGAAATACAAGTAGATTAACTTTTTATTCAAGGACACCTCTGGTCCCCATGGTACAGGTGTAACTTAGATATGCTCCCCCACCTGATACAGTGGTGAAACACAGAACAGCTAGTACTATTATGTTATAATTAAAGAAATTCAGATAGATACTTATGTAAATACCATTTAGCCAAATCTACTTTAAGCCAAAGCTGTACCTCTGCTTATTCAAGCCAAGTAAACACAGTCCTTGTCGTTTCCTGAGACACTTTGTACACAAGCCACAGCGATAACCAGGCCCCTAAGAACACATTGCCATCGAGTGGCCCTAACTGCACAGGCCATCCGATTGGCCCCGACCTGGTGGTATATCTGCCACAGATTCCATATCTTAATAAATTGTGAAACTAAACAAGCAGAAAACCTATTCTAGCAATAATCTTAAAATAATTATCTATAGAAAAAAAATGATCAGAATTTATCTCATCCTACAGAAGCCCAGAAAGACTATGTATTTTTAATATTTTTCTGACTTGTCATCTCGAGATACCTAACAAAAATACGCGGCCTCTCTGGGTTTCCGTGCTCATACAGTTTCCTGCTTCAGAAAGATGACATCAAGCAAACAGACAAATCAATATCACAGGTGCTGCAGGCAAACAGAACAAACATGCTGAACAATCTTCTAATTGTATGATTGCATGTTTAGGTTCAGGAGCAAACATGAGCATTTTAAACACTGAGCAGCCATAATTGGGTGAAAATATGCAGTATGTGTTAGGCAGACTGAACGATAGATCAGCTTTAACAGGTAAATGGGGAGGAAGAAGGATACATTTAAAAAGCTGTAATAATTATTTTAAAAAAAATTAAGATTAATTTATAAAACGATACACACACACAAAACACATGTACAACATTCTAATTTAAACAAAGACTTAATTTTGTCAGCAATATTAGGTTACGTTCATGGATCTTTGAATTGGAATAATAGAGAGAACAGACAAAATTAACCCTCACACGGTCACTCGTGATTAAAGAGAGCGGGTGGCCTGTTGCCCACAGACTTTTTTTTTTATTATTATTATTTACCTCAGGACTAGATTGGGAATGGCTTGTGACAAGAAAATAAATAAATTGCCAGCCTCGTCATAGAGGGCATTTGGGCACAATTCTGCCCAAACTAAAGAGACTATAATGTGGGTATAATTTAATGTAATTCTAAAGCAGCCCAGTGCTATTCAGTGCTCTTCTTTCTACACTGTTGCTAAAATTCACAAATTGATGATTAACACGAAGAGAAAGCTCTCCACATTAAATTTTTACTGTTTCATATAGGGGTTACCCCCCAGTTATTTATGGCAACCTGACACACTCTCTCTACCTTTTGTCTCTATCCAATTCTCTCCACATTACATACGTCAATTTGTCACTTTATTAATTGCAGGGTGTAACATCAGCACCTATAACTGTGCATTATTAAATGTCACTTAACTATTTGTGTAGAAAAACAGAATAATGGAAAATGCACTACACGACATAGCTGAAATGTATTTTAAAAAAAACAAACCACTCCTTATAGCAACAGAATAACAGCTATAAGTAAACAATCTTACAACATAAAACATAGGGATAAAAATAACTTATTGCTACTTCTGGGTCCCTAGTGATCACCAGTTAATTATGTCATGTTCGAACTCACATTGCCTATCGGACTGACTCCTTGTTGACATAGATGAATGAAATATTATGAATAAATGCTTGGCTATATCCAGAACACATTATGATTTCAGAATTTTTCTTCCAAGCGACAACAAAGAAAAGCAATAAAATATATATACACAATGCCACATTTAACCGCTTAACGAAGTTAAGACATGTTATTACAGTCTAACTATAATGGGCTTTAATGCAGCTAAATCCAAAGGCCACTACTCTATACGAATTCTTCTTCACCTCTCTGCTGCCTTTGACACCGTTCATCATGCTCTCCTTCAAACTGTTCAATCGCTCGTTCTCTATGACTGTCCTCTCGTGGTTTTCCTCCCATCTCTCCCAACGCTCATTCAGTGTCTCCTTTTCCAAGGATACCTCCTCCCCTCGTCCTGTCTCGGTTGGGAGTCCCCCAAGGCTCTGTCATTGGTCCCCTTCTATTTTCTCTTTATACTGCCTCTCTTGGTAAATTTATTACCTCATTTGGATTCCACTACCACCTGTACGCTGATGACACCCAGATATATATCTCCTCCGCGGAACCTCTCCCCTGCCGTCCTGCAACGTGTCACTGCTTGCCTTTCTTCCATCTTTGACTGGATGTCCTCCCACTTTCTGAAACTCAATCTCTAAAACTGAGCTCCTTGTCTTTCCTCCTCCTAATACTGATCCTCCTTTTTCGCTCTCCCGTTAAGTTAGTGGTTTCCACATAAGTCCATCCTTGCAAGCATGCTGTCTTGGCGTCATACTTAATTCTGGCCTCACTTTTGAGCCTCACATTTAGTATGTTGCCAAATCCTGTAGAGTCCATCTTAAAAACATAGCCGGCATCCGCCCCTTTCTTACGCAAGATGCTAACAAGGAGCTTGTCCATGCTCTAGTAATTTCCCGCATGGATTATTGTAAACCTCTCCTAACTGGTCTTCCCAAAAGCCGTATTGCCCCGCTACAGTCTGTAATGAATGCTGCTGCCAGACTGATTTTACTCTCTAGTCGGTCCTCTCACACATCACACCTCTGTCAGTCCTTACATTGGCTTCCTGTATCCTATAGGAGTCAATTTAAAGTGCTAACCCATACCTATAAAACACTGAACAATTCTAGCCCCTTTTATATCTCTTCACAGATCCATAGGTATACCCCTTCTTGGTCTCTCCGCTCTGCCCGTGACCTTCTTCTGTCCGCTGCTCGCACGCGTACAGTCAACTCACGCTTGTAGGACTTTTTGCGAGCGGCTCCCTTACTGTGGAATAGCTTGTCTACTGCCATCAGACTATCCCCTAGTCTTCAATTGTTTAAGAAGTGCCTTAAAACCCATCTCTTTAGAAAAGCTTATGGCCTCCCAGAGTAACCTCTACCTCACATACCTGTCTCTTGCTCTCTCCTAAAGGGCAACACTCTACTCTCTCTTCCAGCTCTGCTTCACTCCCACCTTATTTCATTGCGATTTCCTGTCCTAGTGTGTTTTATACCCCACTTCCTATAGACTGTAAGCTCATTTGAGCAGGGTCCTGTTCAACCTATCGTTCCTGTAAGTTTTCTTGTACTTGTCCTATTTATAGTTAAATCCCCCCACTCATTATATTGTTAAGCACTACAGGATCTGCTGGCACTATATAAATGGCAATAATAATAATAATGCTTTTTAGAACATAATGACACATCCTGCAGATTTGATGTGAGCAAGCTTAAATCCCTGCTCAAACAAAGGAGTCCCAAGTACCAATGTATACCTGGGGCTCCACTCTGTCTGCTCTGACTAGTGTTTGTAACCCCAGACTTTTAGATCAGCTATTTGCAGCACTCGCATCCAAATGCCTCTTAAAATGATTGTTGTGTGAGCAGGGTTACATCTCTGTGCCCACCGCTAACCCCAGGTATCAGTGGATACCTGGGACCCCTGTAAGTCAGCTGGGGCCATTTTAGTGGTCCCAGACTGACGCAATGAGCTATTTGTGTCGCTGGATGTCATCTCTGCTATGTCCTTTCTGTCAATTAAAAGAATTATATAGAATATGTATGGCAGAACTTGAAAATAAACTTTAAATTAGGGTGGATCAGACAAAGCTCAAATTCAAGGTTTTGTTTTGGTTCAGAATGTGGACAATTGGCTCTGTCCTTAAGGAGTTAAAGAACACTTTAAATCTTATAACCACGACAGCAATTGTTAGAAGTCAGTTTGAATGGATTGAATTGTTTACCTGGGGTCTGCTGAGTGCTCTTCTACACTACTACTAACGCCAGAGAAACTTAAAGGGACACTCCACAAAATACAAAATAAATAAAAATAAAGGTTTAGTAAATATACCCCATATTTTTAATTATGCATATTTTTATTGGGTGTATAAATAAAAACAGCTTGCAAAAACTGCTGATCTTTTGTCAAAACTCTAAAGCCTTTGCAAGCCCTCCCCTTCTAACCCCACCCACACTTTCTGTGGCTGTCCAGTCAAAGACTTCATAATGTAGCTCAATTGGAAGTCTTTGCAAGTTGGTGCTCTGGGCAATTGCTGCCTCTACTGACCTAACTAAAACAGGAAGTAAGAGGACCTGTTGTCTGCTTGAAATCCAGGGGGTGTTTCTACTGTTACCCTCCTTACATATAGCCACCTGTTACCCTCCTTACATATAGCAAAATCTTACCTTTACTCCAGCCTGCTCCTGCTGGCTCTGCCGCTGATCTGCCTGCTTGGCTGACATAATCAGAAGTGGTGTTCTGAGCCAATCACAACCCTTTCCCATAGGAGTGGCTGAGACTGTCAAGGAGGCAGATCAGCATCTCCTCATAGAGATGCATTGAATCGATGCATCTCTATGAGGATTGTTCAGTGTCTCCATGCAGAGGGAGGAGACACTGAATGGCAGTGCTCTTCACTGTGCAGCACTGCTCCGGGAAGCAGTGGCCAGTGGAGGTATCCCTAGGCTGTAATGTAAACACTGCATTTTCTCTATAAAGACAGTGTTTAGTGCAAAAAGTCTGAAGGTAATGATTCTACTCACAGGAATAAATACAATAAGCTGTAGTTGTTCTGATGACTATAAACACTATTGTCAGGACAGCAAAATTTAACTGAAAAGAGTATGGGTGTAGGAGTGCACAGTCTAAATTATTCCACTGTACTTATTTTATTCAGGAGAATAGGACTACTTACGGCTCAAATATTTAGGGGGTGGGGCAGGTAAGGGCCCGACTGCCATGCTAGCTGGCCATGTGTTTGAACAGCTTCTGAAAGTTCTGGTGTTTAATCGAAATGAATCAATGTTTACACTTACCCAGTGCCGTGAATGTATAGATTTTATTTTGTTTGATTGTGGGTGATACCCTACTTAACTTATTTAATTTTTATTTCATATATTTATATACCAATGTTTTCTTACAATTATACATAAATGCTATTCATCATATCACAACATATTAAAAGTCCATTGAGGGCACAATTACAAAATATTGGTAGAATTTTTATGACAAGAATATGCTGTCCGAATATACAACACAAATAGAAACTTGCCATTTCTCATACAGCAAATGTGAACTTCCTTTTACCCAAAACTAAAAACTGTATTTTTCTTTTTTTTCTTCACACCTTTAGTGAAATGTGTGAATGTGTTTATGTATATGTACATGGAAGAGGAGTACGTAGATCTGGCTGTGATTAAGATCTTCAAATAAATTACTGTTTTCAAGATTAAAAGGGACAGTGTAGTCACCAGAACATCTTTAGTTTAGAGGGATACTATACTGTTAGGAATACAAACCTAACACTATACAAATCCCCCACCCGTATGCCCCACAGCCAATAAAGGGTTAAAAAACATTTACTCACTTGATCCCTGCGCTGATGTGTCTCCAACATCAGACAGGGGATCCTAATGTGCATGCGTGGAGAGCGCATTAGGCGCTTCCCATAGGAAAGCATTGAATCAATCCTTTCCTATTTGGATTTTAGTGACGCTGGGCGTCTTCATGCAGAGCGTGAGGACGTCCAGCATCAGTTTGGCAACCACAGTCGCCTAGCAAGCAGGAAGCACCTCTAGGGGCTATCTGGTGGATAGCCACTAGAGACTGGCATAGTACTGCAATGTAAACATGACAGACATGGCAAAAAACATTATTAGGGCATCATTAAAAGATGTGAGTTCCTAAATCTTTATTCACAGCAATTACACAAATAATCAAAAATACATAAACACCCCCCCACATCTACAAACAGAAAAAGCTCTGTGAAACGGGCTAATCAAGTTTATGGATTACAGATTTCCTTTATGATAATGGAAAACATTAGTCAACGAGAGGAAGTGAACTCATGCTAAAATTAATATTGTACTTTGTTTCTAAACAAGATTGTGCCACAAACAAATACAAATTACAGGAAAGGAGTAGTATTGACCTTAGTCTCACTAGTTATTGCAAAAGATACTTCAGAAGTAATAGATATGCCAACTATGACTAAAAAGAGCAGTAAGAACACTGAAGTGAACATTTTGTAGGATTCTGGGATAAGCAATCATGTTATTGCTTTGTTTTAAGACATTTTGTATTGTACGCTGTATATTGGATACAATTGATAGAATTCCTTTAAGAATGTGTGTTCTGTAGTAATCAACATTATGGATATATGAAAGTTAAAGGGACACTACAGTCACCAGAACCACAATAGCTTAATGTAGTGGTTCTGATGTCTATATCCTGTCCCTGCAGGCTGAATATGTAAACACTGCGTTTTCAGACAAAAGGCAGTATTTACATTGCTGCCTAGTAACACCTCTAGTGACAGTCACGCAGACAGCCACTAGAGGTATTTCCGAGTCCAGTGCTGCACAGTGTGCAGTACCTACGTTCAGTGTCTGCACAATCTGCATGGAGGCACTGAATGTATACCATAGAGATGTATTGATTAAATGCATCTCTCAGAGGCGATGCTGATTGGTGCAATAGCCTCCCACTGCTTTCCTACATACTAGGACAATCACAGCGAGACCGGCACGACATTTAAAAAAAGATGAGTAAAATACCTTTCCCATGCGATCGGATGTCACCTAAACAGACATTAACTGTGTGTCTGTCAGTCGGTGAGTGGGTTGGTGTTTGTTGACAAACACACACTTGCTGACATGACACATGCATACTCACTGAAAGACACACTCAGACAAATACACACACACTTCTTGACAGACACTCTCAGAAAAAAAACACAGATTCTGACACACATATTTTCTAACAAACTCACAAATTATTGTTTTATTTAAAATAATAATTTGGGGGGAGGGGTTAGCTCTTCTTGCTCTGCTCCCTAGAGTGCTGTTTAGTGATGCCGGGGGGGACATCATATCTTGGCATCACTGCAGCTCCCTCGCCACCCGCATTCAACTTCAGTGGGCCACTTCCATGCTCCATCATGGGGCTGCCCGCATTCATCCTCAGCAACCACCTCCGCTGAACGGGCTGACAAATCCCAGGCTCCAGGAGAAAATTCCTAGTCACCATGGCAACCTGGTGCCTGGGATTTGTCCAACCCTGCTCTAGTGGCAGTCACTCAGACGACCACTGGAGGTGCTTCCTGACTCAGGGCTGCACTGTGTGCAGAACTGACGTTCAGTGCCTTTACGATCTGCATGGAAACGCTGAACGCTCCCTATGGTGATGCATTGATTCAATGTATCTCTCTGAGGAGATGCCAATTGGCGCAGTGCAGTGTTTTGCTGTGCATGCGTAGTAGCCTTCTAATGCTTTCCTATGGGATTGAGCCTCCCAATGCTTTCCTATGGGACTGAGAGTGTCAAATATGATGATCTCACCCACGGAGGAGGGCAAGGGGGTGGGGACCTAAACTATGTTTTTACAACTATAGTGCCAGGAATACTTGTTTGTATTGTTCCTTTAACCCCTTAAGGACACATGACATGTGTGACATGTCATGATTCCCTTTTATTCCAGAAGTTTGGTCCTTAATGGGTTAAGGATAAACTGTTTCAAAGATCATTACAGACCAAATACCATATTAATCCAGCGAATAGGCTTGAAAAATGTGTGATTAAGCTAAGCTGATAACCTAACACTTGTAAACAGAATACCAAAATATTTGGGGGGTGTGGAAGAAACCACACTAAATTCCTATGTATTTTCCACAGGGACTAGAGAAAATTCTGGACTTGGCAAACCTTTGCCATTCCTATCTAATCTCACAGAAAACATTTAAATAATATGAATTAATAACTAGGAAGATATCAGCATGGCTCAGGTTTAATAGATGGTTTTATACTTTGAATGGATGAAGAAAGATAGCTAAAAGGAAAACAATAGAGTAAAAATCACTCCCTATTTTTAAAATACGTTATTCAGAAAAATATAAAATTATACCAATTTTTTTTTCAAAAAACATAAATTACAAATATTTCGTTTTCTAAAATCCTGACACTGCCCATCTTGGATAAATTGTATGCAGTTTTAGGAGACTCCTTCACCAGAAAGATAATCCACCAATCAGGAATCTCTCATTCTGGTCTATGAAGTGTGATCTTGATCTATCAATAGTTGTCCAGCTAGGTTTTATGAGTAATGTAGTTATCTCCTCCAGCAGCATCATAACTTGTCGTCACATAGGATTAAGCCTCTTAACTGTTTCTTCCCTAGTGCCCAGCTTTTAGTAGAAGTGCTCGCACAACACTAAGGGCACTAGCAACATGCAGAGTGCACGGTAACAGCGCTCTCTGCATGGATCTGTCCTGGGTGAATCTATCCCTTTCGGTGGCGCCATTGACACAAATCGTGTCACTAACCTACTCCTTTTGGTGGGTGCCAATTGGCAACCTGGTGCCCACTGGCATGCCTCCCATTGATAAGAGGTAGGATGAGTGGAGTTACTCTTTAAAAATGATTTGCAGTAAGACATGGTTATTTTTTAAGAGCTGATTTATGTGAAAGAGATAAAAAATAAATCTAGTAAGAGGATTAAACCTGTAATTTTTTAGCAAAAAGCAAGCAAGTAGAAAACAAAAATTAGAACAAAAAAAAAAATCAAACACTTTTGACAACATTGGAGTACTGTATCAGATATGATAATCCAGGCTTAAAATCCAGAGAATTTAATTTGCTAGCACTATATTTAACCCTGTAACTTTTCAAGACACCATAAAACCTGTACATGGAGGGTACTGTTTTACTCAGGAGACTACGCTGATCACAAATATTAGTGTTTCCAAACAGTAAAATGTACTACAATGATGATATCAGTGTATTTTGCATTTTTTGCACAAAAAACAGCACTTACACTGATGATATTATTGTTGTGATACTTTTTACTGTTTTGAAACACTAATATTTGTGTTCAGCGAAGTCTCCTGAGTATATCAGTACCCCTCATGTACAGGGTTTATGGTATTTTCAAAAGTTACAGAGCCAAATATAAGGCTTGGGTTTCATTTTTTTCACATTGAAATTCGCCAGATTGGTTATGTTGCCTTTGAGACCATATGGTAGCCCAGGAATGAGAATTACCCAAATGATGGCATACCATTTGCAATAGTATACAACCCAAGGTATTGCAAATAGGGTATGTCCAGTCATTTTTAGTAGCCACTCAGTCTGAAACACTGGCCAAAATTGGCGTTCAAAAGTTTTTTGCATTTTCCACACAAAAAAATATTAATGCTAACTTTGGCCAGTGTTTGTGACTAAGTGGCTACTAAAAAACACTGGACATACCCCATGTGCAATACCTTGGGTTGTCTACTATTGCAAATGGTATGCCATCATTTGGGTAATTCTCATTCCTGGGCTACCATACGGTCTCAAAGTCAACGTAACCAATCTGGCGAATTTCAATGTGAAAAAATGAAAATTTTAACATGTTATATTTGACCCTGTAACTTCCCAAAACACCATAAAACCTGTACATAGGGGGTACTGTTTTACACATGAAACATCGCTGAATACAAATGTATATATTATTAGAGTGAAAGCAAACAGTATTATGACATTCACAGTTAAAATTTCATGCAGAACGAAAAACAATAACATTTCTTAATTTTTCACATTTATTTATATTATATTCATGTTAAATTATGTTTCATAGCTAAATATTTGATGTTAAATGAAAGCCCTATTTCTCCTGAATAAAATGATATATAACAAGTGTGAGTGCACTTAATATGAAAGAGGTGAATTACGGTTGAACAGACATAGTCAAATTACAAGTTTTGTTTACGTTTTATTTTGATCAAAAAGTGTACATTTGGCTTAATCCTGGAGGGGTTAAATACAATCCTTTAATCTTAAAATATTACTCTTTAAAAATAAGTAACAATATGTAGCACCAACTTGGAATTTAACACTTTGTTTCCAGCTCACCCATACATAAATCTCTAGGTTTTCTATATGTCAGTATGGTTGATATCCCCCATTCACCAACTCAGTAAAACTAAAATGTGTATAACTAAACAGAACATGGGTGAGGAAGAGATCACTGGGAGGAGTATAGGCAAGGCTTTAACAGCCTAGAGCCATGCCGATTTACCGCCCAAATAGAGTAAATATTTCTTAGGGGCATGGCATAAAGTCATAGAAAATCCAGTTCTGCTTGTTCCAAACTATCTGAGGTCACAAACAATTGCTTGGAAAGATTATCCCTAGTAAAAATGAATGTGACCCTTTACACATTTTTTCTAAATAGCTAAGAACTAAGAATAATGGTAATACATTCCAATAACAGTAACGGTAAGGGTGGACATTTTACTTTCCTGTTAATATAAATAGATTTAGGCTGCAATATTTATATATAAAACACTGCATTTCAGGCACACATGGGGTGCTAGGAATCTCCTCTGCAGATAAGACAACTATCCCTAGCAACAGCGAAGAACAACATTCCATTCATTTAGTGCTATTTAATATCAACAAGCAAAGGTCAAAGACCTTACATAGTGGAGAGCACTACTGTGTTTGTGCTTTGCCTCTGACAATAAATGTTCCTCTGCTATGATGAACGCGCACACACCCATTTTTTAAGAAAATGCTAAATTTAGACAATTTATTACTACTTTTATTTAAACTTATTTAAGCACTATAACCACCTTTGCTCCTTTCAAAACTTATGGTGCAATTGTGTATTTTCTGTGTATCAGATTTTCAGACATATTTAACAACTTTTTATTATTAAAGGGGAACTGCACCTTCCCAGGAAATGTAATATTAGGTTTGCTTATCCCTATATTTAACAAATTTGCGAGGAGTAAAAAAACAAAATTAAAATGTAGAAATCAACAATTCTATCGGAAAACGGGGGACCTCTATCTTAGCTCTCTGTCAATCATTGCTATAAGCTCTGTCCTGTGCAGTTTGCATTGAGAAAGCATAAAGAGAAGTGGAAAAATGTAATCATGTCATTTGCAACATTTTTAATATAAAAAGCAGATAGTTGGAGAATTGAACCGCTTTCCTGATTTCAGGACTACTTATAAATTCAAGATTAAAATAAATAGCAAACTAGTGTATATACGTCTAGTATTTATTTTTAAACATGTTTGGACCAAGGTTTTATACTTATCCTTGCATTCGGATGGCGTACATAGCTATTAGTGTGCTTTTGGTATCTGCTATTATATACAACTGTTTTTCTTGTTCTTGGTTATTTGTGACTAAACCACAACTAAGCATATGGTCCTTCTCAACCCAGAGAACAGGTACATAGAACATCTGTAAATCTATTGCCAAGATCAGCTCACCCCTCTTCGTAAACTGGCATTGCTTAAAAGGAAACTATAGTGCCAGGAAAACAAACTCATAGCTTCCCCTTCTGTCAAGGCCCACCCCGTGGTGCTGAAGGGGTTAATAAGCCTTTTTGTCACTTACCTGGATCCAGCGCTGATGTCCCTATGCGCTGGCTCAGCTCTGCCCATGCTACTCTTCTGCTGACGTCCGTCGGCGGGGAAGACATTAGGATCTCCCCATAGGAGAGCATTATTTAATGCTTTCCTATGGGGATTCTGGCGATGCTGGAGTTCCTCATACATAGCATGAGGACGTCCAGCATTGTTTAGATGACCAAAAAGCGGTCTATGAAGCCGGAAGTCACTCTAGTGGCTGTCTGGTACACAGCCACTAGAGGAGGACTTAACCCTACAAGGTGATTATTGCAGTTTATAAAAACTGCAATAATTACATGCTCAGGGTTAAGGGTGATGGGAGTTTGCACCCAGACAACTTCAATGAGTTGAAGTGGTCTGGGTGCCTACAGTGTCCCTTTAATAGTCAAGTTTCACACTGCAGCTGCATATTTCTACACCTGGCTCAAAATTACAATAGGAAGTCAGGCACAGAAAGTGTATCACCTTAAGATGGCACGATAGAACAAGCATGTTTGTACTGGTGCCATTTTAAAACATATTTTACTACGTGAGTATTGGGAGAGTGCCACTCCTATGTAAATCAGTTTTCCCCATGACAATTGCTAAGCACCTACTCAATCTGTGAAAAAAGGAGAAAATGATATCACACCTAAAATCGGAGCTAATACAGGGCTCGAGCCCTGCAGGAATGTGTGGGAACGATGTTCCTGCACTTTTTTACAGCAGGAATGCCATTCCAGTTGCTCCTGCAGGCACTCAGGGGACGGCAAAAAATGCTGCCCCCAAATGCCCTCCGTGTTCCCCATGTCATGGGGGGGCCCAAGAGGTGGCTTAATGGCCCCCTGATAGACCCCCCCGGTGGACACCTATCTCCCTGTCAGATGCGGCGAGGGAGCTGTGTTCTCTCTGATCTACTCACTTATGCATCGTTTGCTGATGCTGGGAGCCGGAATATGACGTCATATTCCAGTTCCCAGCATCAGTAGACAGCCTGCGCGGCGAGAGGGAGCAGAGCAGAGAGAACACCGCTCCCTCGCTGCATCTGACAGGGAGACAAGCGCCCGCCTCACTGGACCCCAGGGACAGGTCCACACCAGCTCTCCAGGTAGGGAGGCTGGGTGGACATTTTTAAATGTAAAAAAATAATAATTTCTGTGTTTCTGTGAGTGTATGTGAGTGTGACTGAGTATGTGTGTGTGTGTGAGTGTGTGTGTCTGTGTATGAGTGTATGTGTGTGTCAGAGTGTGTCTGTGCACGCGTTTCTATATGCAAACGCGTGTATATTATTTTTGGGGAGGTGGATTTTGGGTGAGTTCCCACACTTTATTCCCCAGGACTTGACCCCTGGCTAATACTCTCAGCAGGGCCCAATCTGAGGTTTCTTGATTGAAGCCTTAAACTGGAACTGAAGGGTCATATCTATCGGGCACCCCTTCAGGTAAGCCACATCAGAACCTCCTTGCACCGTAACAATTTAAGTTGTGATGGTACCCAGAGTATGCCTATAAGTCCAATTAACACTAAATGCCCTATGTAATTAACTCTGAGAATACGCTCACTCTTTAACCTTAACCCACCCCCCAATAATACACTTTCTGAATGTACACAGTTTCATACACTTTCTATACTTACTTTTCAAGTAGAAAGCAGAAATATGCACATGCATACACACACACATATACACATATTATATATATATATATATATATGCAGTTGTCAAATGTTATATTTTATTTTTCTTAGATTTTTTTTTTTTATGCCTGCTATGTCCAATCAATAATACCAACAGGCTCTTGACATGTATATCTGGCCCTTTTTGGTCTCCCTCAACTGCTAAAAATAAAATCACTGAACCCTTCAAGCCACACTTACACATTCAGTGACACTCAATGAGTAATCAATGCTTTACACTGTTCATACCTATACTTGTAGAGTGTTTGTGCATATACGTTTGACAGGTTCTTACTAGCTTTGTGTGGGAGAGCCAGTGACAACCACGCACATGCTGTCACCTCAGGATCCAGTAAAGAAAATACTTACGGGAAAGAAAACCTAAAACAGCTGTGCCATGCCTTAAATTGTATTGTGCAGTTACTTCACAGGTCTCCTTTCATCCATCTGCACTTACTAAACTAGCTATGTCACAGCAGACCCCTGAGGTGCTAGTGGGATATGCTTGGTGGATACAATGGGAAGGTCATGATTATCTGCAAGTCCAGTATATTCAATAGTCTGTGTTTCTTCTCTATCTGGGAACTAAATATGAGCATTATTATTATGATTGTTATTTATATAGCGCCATCTAATTCCGCAGCGCTTTACAATGGGTGGACGAACAGACATGTAGTTGAAAGCAGACAAGTTGGACACACAGGAACAGAGGGGCTGAGGGCATTAATTTAACAAAGGTAATTTATTCTGCAATTGTCACAGTTATCTTTAAAGAATGCATTATAACCTATTGTGTATATACTTCTGCAATAAACATTAGGACAAACATTCGCATTCCAAAGAAGCACTTTTTTTTTCTCAATTGTCATTGATAAATGCTAAAAATACAAAAAGGGCCATCTCCAAAAAAGCTTAGAGGAAAGGTACAAAAATAAACTTCTACTACAGAATGAAAAAATCCACACCCTCAGAAATTACAAAGACAACAAAAAGAGGGAAGGTGCAGTTCCAGCAGCATTAATCATTAAACAATTTAAAGAGAACAAACAGAAAATATCACAGGGTCTTTAATAATAATATAATGATGACTCAATCCCCCCGATAAAGCCTGAGGCGTCTTTGGTAAATGTGTATGCTGATGTATTTATTTATGAGTTTCTGGATTGTATATGTATGACAATATATGCTAATTGTGATAACGTTACATATACTACTGTTGAAGTACTTTACTTGTAAAGATAATACTATTTTTTTTTTTAATTATTATTATTTTTGGGGGGGGGGAACGCAAAGAGGTTTATCTAATTCGAGGAACAGACACGTGAAACACAAGATTTAAGCCAAAGTAGCCTGATCTGGGAAAAACTACTGATTTGGAGAAATCTGCTATTTACAAATTTCTAATGCAATTTTTTATATATTTATCATATATAATATGGTTTTCAATATTGTAAATATTGAGCGGTTATACGGTTAACATTTGACATGAACGTTTTTCTTTTGTTAGTTAACAAAACATAAAGGAAGGAAAAAAACAAACAAACATAAAAAGAGGCAACTTCTAAGTCCAGTTCCCACAGATAATCAATGTTCAGTTTGTGTGGTCAGTATTTCATCGTTGAGATCTGCAATGATATGTCACTTCCGACCTTATGAAAAGAAGTCATGTCTGGTTATGGTTTGTCTTTTAGTAACGTATGTCGGGCTAAGGCATAGTGTCCATTGTTACAGTAAAGTACTGACTTTGTTTGATGTCAGTGTCAGCGTTGAGGAGTTGGTGGCTGGACTTGGTGTGATTAAACAAAAATAGAGAAACTGAAGTAATTGAATTAACTGGGTGCTGGTTCGATCCTTTATCCCTCCATCATAGTCAAGAATGCTTCTGGTTTTAATAACCATTAATATTTAATGAGGTGTTCTTTGTAAAGGGTCCAGATCCGCCACCAGCTCTGCCGAGAACCACGATCATACTATTTTTATTAATTTAAAGATTTACAAAAAAATCCATTTAGATGGTGTGCAGTGGGGCATATGCATATGTATATACATTTTTGCCACAGGCTGCTCACTGTTTAATAGACATGCCCCTACTCACGGTAGAACGAGTAGGGGCATAATGTAATAATACTACGTAACCAGCTTATATGGAGGCTGGGTCACATGCTGCACTGGCCAATCACAGCCATGCCATTAGTAGGCATGGCTGTGATGGCATCTAAGGGCACACGGGTCAAACACTTGTTGATTGGCTGCCCTGCAGCCTTTCAAAACGCGTCATTAAATCGCCGAACACCAAACTCCAACCCGAACATACAGTGATATGTCCGTGTTCGGGTCCGGGGTCCAAAAAACGTAATGTTCGGTACGAAGCCGAACTTTACAGTCTGGGTTAGCTTAACTCTAGTCCCCAATGTTACTCTATGGCTCCTACATGACAATGTGGGACAAGGGGAGGGGTGCAGTGATGGAAAATGTTGAGTAAAACTCTTCTTTTCAGAATCTTTACTAGAAATGGGGGTTGGGAGAGGGGGTGGTACATAGATGGAGGGACAGGGTAACTATAGCATTAAGAATAAAGGTTTGCATTCCAAATCCTATAGTATTCCTTTAACATGCTACCCTATAAATATTGCAGATTAACCCCTTAAGGACCAAACTTCTGGAATAAAAGGGAATCATGACATGTCACATGTCATGTGTCCTTAAGGGGTTAAACTACAATGTTTCAAATATACAGAACATTTTAACCTACCCTATTGTTATATAACAATGTTTGCAAGACCAACAGGCCAAATAAAAATAAATTGTGTATTCTCTATTTAACTCCTTAAGGACACATGACATAGAAACATAGAATGTGACGGCAAATAAGAACCATTCAGCCCATCTAGTCTGCCCAATTTTCTAAATACTTTCATTAGTCCCTAGCCTTATCTTATAGTTAACTACTGATTTGGAGACATGTGGAGACTGATTTGTGACATGTCCGGATTCCCTTTTATTCCAGAAGTTTGGTCCTTAAGGGGTTAAATCAGACCTCATAACCCACCCATCAGTGAATGACTAGTCTATTTAAATAGCTTTTTGGAATGTCATGAATTTTTCAATGTGAAAAAAAAAAATGGAGCTCAAAATAGTTCTATCTACAGCTGGTGACAATCCCAAACTTCTAAACAGACATATTTTTGTAATGATTCTTTAAATGTCTTCTTTGTGATTAGTCTTTATATTTTGCCCTGTTTATTTAAAATCCTGATTATCCACTATAAAGGTCATCGTAGCAAACTGAGCCGTACAGACCCAGTTCCAAGGAATTTCCTGCTAGTTAGCCATTGCTGATCCATGTTAGCAGATTATCTTTAAGTTTCAAACTGTTATGACGATATGTCCCTTCATGGTTCGTAATGGGTTAATAATAAATAATACCAAATTGAGGACAGCTTGAAACTAGTTCTGGCAAGAACTACTGCTGCTAAAGTAGGTCTTGTACTTGTACTAACTTGATTTTACCACCCATTTTAGCTCCCAGCATGGAGCAGACTGGATGGCAACCACAGGAGAGTTGCTGTGATTAACCAGCATAATGCATACTCTGTCAGCATCCAGCCAACTGGACTATATTTAGAAGATTAAAGTAGAGGGAGGGTCCAAGAATTCACAACTTGGCCTGGAATTACTTTCCTCTCAGGCAGGAAAATCCGCATGTGAGGTCACAATACCACCATTTTACAGGCACACTCCTCCCACAAGCCAATACCACATAAACTAAACTATTTACACAAAATGGACTAATCAGGCTCAAGGAATTAGGAATTGCAAAAACATTAACCCTTTTCCTTTCCAGAGAGATAGATTTCCATTATGTTACGTTAGTAGGTACTGTTTACCCTGAGTATTCTAAAGAATTACAGCACCAGGGCAGGCACACATTGATTCATATATTGCTGGAGTTATTCAACTGTGAAATGTGAAGAACTGACAAATTAACTGAGAAATAATAGGCCTAAACAGCTGATCTGTTTAAAATTTGCAATTCATTTGCCAGTTTTCCACGCAACACATTTTAGTTTATAATAACCCATGAAGGTTTTACAATATTTAAATGAACTTCCTCTGGGGCCTTGCCTCTTGGAAGACACAAAACTATTTTTTAAATGCAAAAAAACAACAATATTCTCCTCAGCACAGCACAATGCATGGATCAACACTTAGAGAGTTGCATACATACACAGCCCCCAAGTGTATTGCTACAATGTATCAGAAATCGATACAAACAATATTACTATGACCATCAAAGGAAGTTACTGAAAATCATGTATCGACAGGATTGTAGGAAATAGGCATGTTTATGATGGCATACCCAAGAATGACTAATAAAAGTTACTGCTTAACAACTGTCTATGTGCAAAGTATGAATTTCCATTAACCCTTGAAGGACAAGTGACGTGTCATATGCCAGAAATAGATCTGCCTAATCCCTAGGAAAGCCAGAAGTATATTAAAAAAAAAGGTACCTCTAGAGCTGAAATACATGGCAGTTATAAAACGGTTATTGCCCAATTTTTTTAATTTATGATAGAAGTTTAGAGTGTTATGAAATACTATCCCCAGACCAACAAAACACTTGTTTATAATAAACATTCAGTTTTGCTCTTTATAAAATGTGTCATTCTATAAGAATACATAAATAATTCAGAATAATATGTTCAGAGGAGCAGAATGCTAGCAGTTACCACACATCTGCATGGGGTCACAATGCAGTGCGCCTGCTGTGAGAATTGAGGAAACTGCAATCTCTCAGCGACAGAACATTCTATTTACACTCACCACACCTACTGCTAGCCCTGCAAAGGATCTGGGCCTCAAGAAAAGCACAAATACAAAAATAAATGTGCTTTTAGAAAAGTTAACAAATTGTTTGAGATTATAGCTCACAATACTTCTTGGTTCTTTGTTTCCATTTTTCTATTTCCTTAACAACTGCACAATGTATTGATCTGTATGTCTATGCTGATAGTGCTATGTATACTTAATTAACTTAATCTCTTATTCACTCACTAGCTGAACCACTGCCTGCTCTCAGCTCCCTATATGGATACATTTCATAGACAATCACATGATTATTCGGTAAACTAACCGAATTGGGCAATATTGTATCCAGATCAAGTTGTAGAACTATCTGCATAAACATTCGATTGGTTTCCATGGTAATTGCTTGTCAATGATGTGTTTGTGCTGTGTAGAGGTATATGGATGTGGATATAGAAGCAGTATGTGTTAAAGAGGGCTTACCGTGCAGTGCTGAGTCCTATGCAGTTGGAGCTGAGCTGGGCTATGTCTCCTTCACTTTCAGTTAGGAGGTAGTTTCTGCAGGAGGAGGAGTCTCGGCTGCTTTCTTCAGTCTCCCATTTGCTTTGCATATACAGTGGAACAGAACTCCGCCTCGAGAGCAAATAGCACACGCGTGGACATGACAAATCCTCATGTGAGAACAGAGGTGTGTTCTGTATTCACTGACAGGGAATTCCGTCTTCTTCATGGAAAATCTGAGAATATTATTTTCCCCTGGTAATCTACAGTAATCAGGAGCCACTCCCGGAGCAAAAATAAAAGAAGCAAGACACCTAAGTAGGATGTGTGTAGTGGCTGGGTGTGATGTGTGGCTTTGGTTAAGTGTGATTGTGTCTGGGGCTGGTGGAAAATAAATACATGTGAGGACTGGCTGAGTGTAATTGTGTGGGTGGCTGACAGTGCCAGTGCTAGACTATTTTGCATCGTAAGCAAGACCATCTACTTGCAATCTGCACCCCCACCCCCTTAGAAAAATAAAAACATGTCAGTTTCGATTTTCAAAAACAGATTTGTAGAAAAAAATAACAGCATAAAACTTGAAACTACTATGTCCCCCCATCCCTTCTGTGTGCCTCTTTATCGTCACCCCCAAAGCCATTACGTGTGTCTCCCCCAGCCCCACTCTGTCTCTTTGTCCCCCTCAGCCATCTGTAAGCCTTGTTGTCCCCCAGCCCCTGTGTCTCTCTGTACGTACCCTCTATTTCTTTGTCCCCCCCCAGCCCCACTGTGGTTTTGTCCCCCCAGCCCTCTATGTGTCTTTTGTCCCTCCATCCCTCTGTAGGTCTCTCTTTGCTCCCCCAACCTTCTGTCCGTCTCTTTGACCCCTTCCAGCCCTCCTTTGTGTCTCTTTGTGCATCATTAGTGCCTCTGTTTCTTTGTTCCCCCAGTCCCACTGTGGGTCTCTTCCCCCCCCCCTCTGTGTGTCTCTTTCTCCCCCGAACTCTATGTGTCTCTTTGTCTCCCCCCCCAGCCCCTTTCCTGTCAGACCACCCAGAGGTGATCAAATGTGAGGGGAAGATAAATGAATAGAGCTGGAGAGATATGCACACTAAATATCCACACAAATATGCTCCTACAGGTACACACACATATACAAACTGGAACTCTATAAATACACACCAATAAATTCACACACTAGCACTCTACACAAATACATCTGTCATTCACATGCACTCAACAACACTCCACACAAATATGCATATTGACAGTCAGACACTTAACTAGCCACATATTCTGAACTAATCTTATCCCTTATATTCCCAGTCAGATAGTACTGTCTCACCTCCCAGTCATACCCAGCGCTGTATTTAGCGTGAGGCTGGCAAGTCATTTGCCTTGGGTGGCACTTTCAGAAAAAAAAAAAATTCTGATCTTGAAATCCATGTGTTTTTAGATGTTCATCAATCCTATCCTTTAACATAGTTTCCATCACTTTCCCCACTACTGAAGTAAGGCTTACTGGCCTATAGTGCCCGACTCCTCCCTATTACCTTTCTTGTAAATGGGCACAACATTCGCTAACTTCCAATCTTCTGGGACTACTCCTGTTAACAATGATTGGTTAAATAAATCTGTTAATGGTTTTGCTGGTACACCACTAAGCTCTTTTAATAGCTTTGGGTGTATTCCATCAGGTCCCATTGACTTATTTGTCTTTACTTTTGACAGTTGAAATAGAACCTCTTCCTCTGTAAACTCACGTGTAATAAATGACTCATTTATCCTTTTTCTCAACTGAGGTCCCTTTCCTTCATTTTCATCTGTAAATACAGAACAAAAATATTAATTGAGGCAGTCAGCTAGACCTTTATCCTCTTCTACATACCTTCCTTCTTTTGTTTTTAATCTAACTAATCCTTGTTTTACTTTTCTTTTCTCATTTATGTATCTAAAAATGTTTTATCCCCCTTTTTTACTGACTGTGCTATTTTCTCTTCTGTGTGTGATTTGGAAGCTCTTATAACTTGCTTAGCCTCTTTCTGCCTAATCTTATAGATCATTTTGTCTTCCTCACTCTGGGTTTTTTTATAATTCCTAAATGCTAACTTTTTGTTTTTAACTATTTTGGCCACATCTGCGGAGTACCACAGTGGTTTCTTGAATTTTTTGCTTTTACTGACAAGCCTAATGCAATTTTCTGTTGCCTTCAATAGTGCAACTTTTAAATAATCCCATTTCTCTTGGACTCCATTTAAATTGCTCCATTCTGATAATGACTCCTCTACACATATTCTAATTTTAGAAAAGTCTGTTTTTCTAAAGTCTAATTCTTTTGTTTTTGTGTGGTGTGACTCAGTCACTGTTCTTATGTTAAACCACACTGACTGATGATCACTGGATCCTAAACTTTCACCTACAATAATATCTGATACCAAATCTCCATTTGTTAACACTAAATCTAGTATGGCCTCTTTACGAGTTGGCTCCTCAACAACTTGTTTTAGAGACAATCCCAGTAGGGAGTTTAGAATATGTGTGCTCCTGGCACAAGTAGCTAATTTTGTTTTCCAATTTACATCAAGAAGATTAAAGTCACCCATGATGATAACTTCCCCCTTCATTGTCATTTTAGCTATTTCCTCAACTTGTAGATTATCTAACTCTTCAATTTGTCCTTGGGGCCTATAAATCACACCTACACGAGTTACTGTGTGATTACCAAATTCTAACGTAACCCAAACGGACTCTATGTTCGCCTCACTAACCTTTATTAGGCTAGATTTTATGCTATCCTTCACATACAGGGCCACCCCTCCCCCTTTCTTGCCTTCCCTGTCTTTTCTATATAAAGAGTACCCTGGTATTGCCATGTCCCAGTTATTTTTCTCATTATACCATGTCTCAGTAACAGCAACTAAATCTACACTATCAGTTGCCATTATTGCCACAAGTTCATGGATCTTATTCCCTAAACTGCAAGCATTTGTAGACATGACTCTAAGCTTATCATTTTTTAACACACTTGCTACAGGCACCTTCTGTCCTTGTTTTGGGGGACAATTGGATTGATGTTTTATCACCCTTTTGCCCCCCCCCCTCCTAGTTTAAATACATCCTAGCAAAACCTCTGAACTGCTCACTGAGAACATTTGTTCCCTTTTGAGAAAGATGCAAACCATCTTTTTTGTACAGCTTATCTCCATTCCAAACATTGTGGTTGTTAGGGTGCCAAAAGTGCCCTGCTGCAATCCATTGTAATGAGTCAAACTGCTTTTGAGTAGTTTGACTTCTTACCTTGGGTCTGCTGGGGACTGCTCCCTTCCTCCACTTTTAATGCTACAAAACAGATGGTTCCTAAGCAAGAACTTCCTTTAGCAGTAGCCAGGGGCGGACTGACCGGTCGGGCACTTCGGACATGGTCCGAGGGCCCGGCCGGGAGGGGGTCCCGCCGCCAGGGCCGCCTTCAGGGGGCCCGGCATCTGGGGACTTCAGTGGAAGGTGCAACCGGGTGGCCGGTCCGGTGGCACACTGTGAGGGGGCCGGCCGCGGTTCATGCTGGAGCCGCCGGACCGGCGAGGAGGAGGAGCATGTCTCTGTCATGCTCCTTTGCGGTTCCCACATCCTGTGCTGGGAATTGTGGGAACCGCAGGGAGCATGACAGAGAGACATGCTCCGCCTCCTTCAGCGTTAGTGAGAGGAATGCCGCCGGACCGTCGAGGCTGCCACCCGGTCCGGCGGCTCCAGCATGAAACGGCCGGCCCCCTCAGACTTGAGTAAGAGGGGGCAATAGAGAGATGGGGAGGGGGGAGAAAGAGGGGGG